GCCAGCGTGAACGAGTATACCCCTCTCATCCTATGTGAACAGGTGATATTGTCAGTCAGGGCGAGGGTGGCAGGCAGCACATCTCCCTGCACATCCGGCGTCGCTTCCAGTTCTCGTCCGCGTTGAAGCGCATGTCTACCGTCTCGACGATGTCGAACAACAGGACTCTCATAGCCGTCAAGGGTGCGCCCGAGACTATCAAAACAATGCTTGCGAGCGTGCCCGGATTCTACGATGACACGTACAAGTGGTACACTCGCCGGGGCAGCCGAGTGCTCGCCATCGCGTTCAAGGAGCTGGACAGCATGTCGCAGGACAAGGTACGCTCTCCCTTGTTTTCCTCGATGGAAACGGTCCGTAATGCTTTTCCATCCCAGATCAACAAGTTGACCCGCGATCAAGTGGAAAGCGGACTCACCTTTGCAGGCTTCCTCGTATTTCACTGTCCCTTGAAGCCAGACGCCGTGGTCACGCTGAAGATGCTGGTAGATTCATCACATAGGGTACGTGAAATTTACATTGACCCACGCAAACCCGCGTTCAAATGGCTTCCTAGTGTATCATGATCACTGGGGACAACCCTCTGACGGCAGTTCACGTTGCCCGCGACGTCGAGATTGTAGATCGCGATGTTTTGATCTTGGATCTGAAAGAAGATGCGACACATCCTGGCGGTAAGACTTTCTGACTTGCATGCGGTGCACCGTCTGACAAGCGTGATCAGACCTCGCATGGCGCACAGTTGACGAACACAAATTCATCCCTGTCGATCCCTCCGAGCCGCTAGACCGGTCTCTGTTCCAGGAGTACGACATCTGCGTCACCGGCGCGGCGTTGAGGCAGTTCGAGGGCCGCTCGGCATGGAACGACATCGTGCAGAACACCTGGGTGTACGCGCGCGTGTCGCCCGCGCAGAAGGAGGCGATCCTCACGACGCTCAAGTCGCTCGGCTACGTCACGCTCATGGCGGGCGACGGCACGAACGACGTTGGTGCGCTGAAGCAGGCGCATATTGGCGTGGCGCTGCTGGACGGGACGCCTGAAGACCTGCAGAAGATTGCGGAGCACCAGAAGAACGAGCGGATCAAGAAGGTGTACGAGAGCCAGCTGAAGATTTCGGCGCGCTTTGGGCAGCCGCCGCCGCCTGTCCCTCCTGCTATCGCCCACCTGTACCCTAATGTCGTTGAGGCTCAGAAGAAGGTCAGCACCGAATTTCAAGATGCACGGAAGAAGAACCCTATGGAGAAGGTGAGCGTCCTCTGCTTTTGCAAATGCTGGCCTTTGTATTCACGTTCTGGTTAGTTCGACCTGGCGTCAATCACGGACAAACTGGCTTCAATGGAGGAAGAGGACGATGTGCCCAAGATTAAGCTCGGAGATGCCTCCTGCGCGGCGCCCTTCACCTCAAAGCTGTCCAACGTATCAGCCAGTGAGTGAAATGCAGCCTTGTTCTACGAGAACCTAGTATTGACGCAGTTCAGTCACGCACATCATTCGACAGGGTCGTTGTACTCTAGTCGCCACAATTCAGATGTACAAGATCCTGGCGCTCAACTGTCTCATCACGGCATACAGTCTGAGCGTTCAGTATCTGCAAGGCATCAAGTTCGGCGACTACCAAGTGACTATCACGGGAATGCTTATGTCTGTCTGCTTCCTGTGCATCTCGCGCGCGAAGGTCAGTAATCGTGCTCGGTCATGTGTGGGCAGAGGACTAATTATGAGCTTACAGCCGGTCGAGAAGCTGTCGCGCGAACGCCCGCTGGGGAACATCTTCAACCTCTACGTGCTGCTGTCAGTCCTGGTCCAGTTCGCGCTGCACATTGCGTCTTTGGTCTACATCACGCAGCTGTGCGGTTTCTACGAGGAGTGAGTTGCGCGTTGCGAGGACGCTATCGCCGTTGATGCTGATGGGGCGGCAGGCTGGGACCGATAGACCTTGAGGCGAAGTTCGAGCCCAACCTGCTGAACACGGCCATCTATCTCCTGAGCCTGTCTCAACAGGTGTCTACGTTTGCCATCAATTACCAGGTGAGTGCGGGCGCGGATGGCTGTGTGCGTGTGTTGACGCGGGGAACAGGGGCGTCCGTTCCGAGAAGGGATCCGGGAGAACCCTGCGTTGTACTATGGGCTGGTGGGTGCGAGCGCGGTGGCGTTTTCGGGTGCGACGGATTTCGTCCCGGAGCTGAACCGCTGGCTGCAAATCGTCGAGATGGATCAGACGGTGAGTCCTAGATTGATGATGCGTTGATGGCCGCGGATTGACGTCGGCCGGTACTGCTAGTTCATGTACAAGCTGACGACGACGATGATTGTCGACTTTGCGGGCTGCTGGGCGATTGAGATTGTGTGCAAGTGGCTGTTTGCCGACCTGGAGCCGAAGGCGATGATCACGCGTGGGAGGGAGCGGAGGGAGGCAAGACGGAAGCTGGAGGCTGCTGAGCAGAACGGGGCAGCGGTGGTCAAGAAGCAGCAGTGACTGTGAATGGGTTTGTACATAGAGTTACTGCATGTGACATATAATTTCATCCACGAGGTTGCGCATAAGGAAGGCGTTGTGGAAGGGAGAACAAGGGCTGGGCGGTGGCGTCGATGGCGACGGGCGCTTGCCGGGGTGGGGACGGCGAGACAATAGTCGGCGAGCGACATTGCTTCTTGTCCCAAACCCAATTGTCCGCGCCATGCCGGCAACGTTGACCGTGTCGCCTTTTGTCCGTCGTCTTTAATATCCTGCCTCCTTGTCTCTCTTTCTCCGAGCTGCCGCACTGTGTGCGCATTCTACGACTTGCACACCTGCTCACACACGACCCAGTCGCCGCGTACGCCATGTCTGCCAACACCTCCGCGCCGCCCCTCCCGCCCACGCACAACGCGCTCGAGGCCCACCACCGCATCCGCCTCGTCCGCTCCGCACGAAAACTCGGCGCCGTCCTCGGGTCCACGCCCCAGGTCGCCGACCACGAGCCGCCCACCCCCGGCCCCACCCCGCTCCTCCCCATCGGCTGCACGCCCAGCAGCAGGCCCAGCACGCCCTTCTCCCTCCGCGGCAGCCCGCCGTCCTCGCGGCCCAGCACGCCCGGGTCCATCTACTCCTCGTCCTCCACCAACTCCTCCATGGCGTCCCTCACCCTCTCCACCCCCCGCACGAGCGCCGAGTCCCTCAGGCTCGCGGAGCCCAAGGGCTTCTCCACCCCGCGCGGGCGCAGGTCGAAGGAGCTCCCCCGCCCGCTCGTCCTCCGCCTCAACGCCGTGCCCATGCCCCCGACCGACCGCCGCGCCGCAAACGCCGCGCCGACGCCGGCGCTGCCCCGCACGCCCTCCACGCCGCGCTCGTCCTCCGCGCCCCCCGCGACGCCCACGACGCCCATGCCGCCCAGCGCGGCGGAGCTGCGCAGGAAGCGCATGGCGAAGCTCGCGCGCACGCTCGGCGAGAACGTCCCCGTCGACCTCGTCTTCCCGCCCTCACCCGCACCCGCACCTGAGCCCGCCACCGCCGTCGCGCGCACGCCCCCGTCGCTGTTGTCGCCCGCCGCAGAGCGCACGCGGAGGCGGCGGAGCATGTCCGTGGAGGTGGCGCACGCGGCGGCCGCGGTGCTCGCGCCGTCGCGCGACTCGCGGATATGGGTCACGGGCGGGAACCTCTGGACGGGCGAGTGGAACCGGCGCGACATCCGCGAGGTGCAGCAGCAGCTCCGGAGGCTGCGGTGACCGGCGATGCCGCAGACGCGGCGCATTGTGATTGCTTCTACGGCGCCCGCGGGGTGCTGGCCATCTGCGGCGGGGCTGGCTGCTGTTGTGCGGTACGGTCTGGTCCTGGTTCGCAGCCCTGCTTGTGTATCACTACGTCTGGTCCGACTCGCTTGACGTTTGGAGACCCCTTCATACTTCACATACTATCTCTGCCCAGGCATGTACACTATGCGATGTTTTACTGTACATCTACGTCCTTAATCATATAGAATACATTGGCTAGCGACGTCTCCAGTGCCAGTGCAACAGTGAAACAGACCGTTGTGCGACCGGCTCCTCCTGTCTTTCTACCGCCACACTGCGCGCGGCTGGACGAAACGGCTCCTCCGACAGTCCCCTGCGAAACGGAGGCGACCGCCGTCTTGTAGCAGCCTGAGGGCCGTGTCGCGTGTCGAAACGTCGACTGTGCACCGGTAGTTCAGGACGGTCAGCTTGTCCTGCGTACCGCGCAGTGGAATGAATCCGAGATTGAGTCGTGCGGATCCCCGCGCGGGCCCGCGATGTGTGCACAGAAGCGTGGCGATCCTTGTTCTGATCGTGCTAGAGGGTAGTGCATGCGCCTCGAACGGGGATCCAGTGCCGATGCATGTCCGCGACGCACCGAGGAGCGGACGTATCCCATGGCCTGTCGGGAAATGAACGTCAGTCGTGTACACCGAGAACCAGTGCGGGGCTGCGTACTTGCTCGAGAGCACGCCACTACACCTCCTCGAGGAAGCCCTGCACGACGAGGTGCTCGACGTCCGCGCGCCGCACCAGGAAGCGGTGGCCCCGCCGGAAGTCGATCGCGCCCTGCTCGGTGTGGACGACGCCGCAGTCGCGGACGACGCGGACGAGGACGTGGAGGTCCCTGGGCGGCTTGGCGATGGGCGCCATGAGGTCGACGTCCTCCGTGAGCGCGCCCGCGTCGTCCTGGCTGACGGAGCCCGCCGCGGAGAACGCCTCGGTGCGGAGCGCGAGCACGGACGCGTTGTACGAGCGGAGGAAGTCGACCTCGTGCGGGGAGAGCTTCGAGCGGACGTCCGCGGGCGCGGCGGCGGCGGCGTGCGCCTGGCCGTCCGCGTGCGCGTGGGCAGGCCCGACGGAGGGCATGGAGAGCAGGAGGGGGAGGGCGCCGCCGACGGACCAGTAGAGGTCCTTGAGGCGGTCGATGCGGTGGGCGTGGTAGGCGAGGAGGCAGCGCTTGTTGCGGTTGATGGCGGTCTGGTAGAGGAGGATGGTGGGGAGGAGGGGGTTGGGGGCGCCGTCGGGGGGGTGGGGGGCGAGGACGGCCTGGAGGAGGGACTCGAGCTGGCGCTGCTCGCGGGCGACGGAGCGGACGAGGACGTCGTTGTACTTGAGGAGCGTGTCGGTGGCCGTCGAGCGGCGCGACTCGATGAGCAGCTGGGTGGCGAGGTCGCCGTACTGGCTTGTCGTCGCAGCCATCGCGCGTGGACGCAAGGCAGGAGGCGGGGAGGCGGGGGGACGCGTGCGTGACGAGCGTGACTGCCCGCAGGTGACCGCACGCGTGTGTGACGGGTGGGTGAGCGGGCGGGCGGCTGTGGCTGGGCAGACGCGTCGACGATGAGTGCGGTGAGTGAATCGCAGAACATCGAGCAGGCCACTGCTGCCATCCAGTGCGCCCCCTCCCCCTCTCACCGCCCCCTCTGCTGACCCCGTCTCAGACAGCCAGACAACAAGACCAGGCGCTACGATCGCCAGCTTCGGTGAGCTCCCTGTGCACTCCCGCTCCTGCCGAGGTGGCTCACCCGACCGCACACAGACTCTGGGCCGCATCCGGCCAGAATGCGCTCGAGGCGTCCCGCATCCTCATCCTCTCCTCCTCCGCAACCGCAACCGCCGTCCTCAAGAACCTCGTCCTCCCCGGCATCGGCCACTTCACCATCCTCGACAGCGCCCTCGCCTCCCCCGCCGATGCGGGCAACAACTTCTTCCTCGCGGGCCCCTCCAGCATAGGCAAGCCCCGCGCCCAGGAGGCCGTCCCGCTCCTGCGTGAACTCAACGACAGCGTCGAGGGCGAGGCCGTCGTCAAAGACGTCCACGACCTCCTCAAGACCGACGAGGGCAGGGCGTTTGTCAGCGGATTCTCGCTGGTCATCGCCCACAACCTGCGGAAGGACACCCTCGACGAGCTCGCCAAGCTCCTCTGGGCCGATCTCAGCAATCCGTCGTTGCTCGTCGTCCGCTCCGCCGGCTTCCTCGCCGAGTTCTTCATCCAGTACCACGAACAATGCGGTGAGCGTCTGCTTCGGTCCTCTCCGCCTCGTATTAGGGTTCTGCATAAGGTGGCCCACGAGGCGAGACGCATGTGGTATGCACACCGCCGCACATCACCAGTCCACTTGAGGATCTGCGGATAGTGCGACGCTGTGAGGACAGCGGCGGTGAACTGCAGCTGAGCAGTTCCGGCCGCCCAGCTTACAGGGTTCGTAAGCGGGAGGGCAAGCATTTGCCACGAGCGGATTTTCGCTCGCTCGCGCGGTCTGATAGATGGTCCTATGGTGGTCTGGTCCTCTTTACTCAGAAGGTCGCGGTCAAGCTCGTTTCCCCGGCTACCCACTAAGAACAACGTGGGCCTTGACCGATCGCCTGCTTCGCATTCCCCCGTAGCTACAAGCTGCATCACTTGAAGTCGTTATCAACGTCTTCCGTAGTCAATTCGTTGACAACATGTTCGTTCATGCGCTTCATTGTCGTGGATAACCTCGTTCTCCCCGCACCATCCTCTGACTATACATGTACATCCGCTCACACCGCCCGCCAGTCTCTCAACCCCACACCGACGAGAACGTACCCTCACTCCGAATCATCCGTCCCTTCCCCGCCATCGCAAAATGGGCCAGCGAGCTCGACTTTGACAAGCTCGACCCCACCGACCACGGGCACGTCCCCTTCGTCATCATCCTCCTGCGCGCCGTCGAGGACTGGAAGAAATCGGTGCGTCTCCCCACACACGCGGGTCCCGTCATCGCGATCCCGCGGGCGTACAGCTGACCCGCACGACAGCACGACGGCAAGCTGCCCGCGACGATGCCCGAGCGCAAGGCGTTCAAGGCGCAGATCGCCGCGATGCGCAAGAAGATCGACGAGGAGAACTTCGACGAGGCCGAGGCGCAGGCCTGGCGCGTCTGGTCCGACCCTCCAGTCAGTCCCCCCCCTCTCTCCCTCCGCCCGCTCACTCACGTAACATTTGCACCTCCAGGTCCCCGGCGCGGTCCAGACGCTCTTCGGCCTGACGCCGCTCACGCCCGCCACGCCCAACGCGGCCTTCCACGCGCTCCTGCAGACCCTCAACGCGTTCGTCGCCGCGCCCGACGGCCCGGGGTGCCTCCCCCTCAGCGGCGCGCTGCCCGACGTGCACACGGACACGGAGAGCTACGTCAGGCTGCAGACGGCGTACAAGGACTGGGCCGCCGTCGAGAAGGTGTGTGCTGCGTGGTGGCCCTCTCCTGTCCTGTCCCGAGCGAGTTCGCTGACGGCGGGCGCAGACGCGCTTCAAGGAGTTGCTGAAGGAGGGGTTCCCGGCGCTCGCGCCCGCGATCGACGACGAGGACGTCGACACGTTCGTCAAGAACGCGCACCATGTCCGCGTGCTGCGTGGGCGGCGCTGGGGCGAGTGGGACGCGGACAAGGAGGCACTCGGTGCGTTCTAATCGGGATGAGACGGTCGTAGCGGGCGCACGCTGATGTGCCTTTTTGCATGCCTCGATAGCCTCTTCGCTATCGATCTTCCCGCGCGAGACGGCGACGCACCTCGGTCTGTCGGCGTTGTCGACCCTTCTGAACAAGGCCCCGGGTGAGGACTATCAGACCGGCGTGTTCGAGCACGACTGATGGACCTGGTGCCGCAGATGGCTCGACCGTGACTGTGGACGGGCTGCGCGCTGAGGTCCAGCAGCTCGTCGGGCAGGGTGTCGCGCTCCCCAAGGAGGTGGACAATGCCATCGGAGAACTGTAAGTCCCCCCATGCGTTTCACCACGTCCTCTCCACACACGCTGACCCCGTTTCTTTGCCACCAGCGCCCGCGCGCCGACCGCGGACCTGCCCAACACCGCCGCCTTCCTCGGGGGCATGGTCGCGCAGGAGGCGATCAAGATGATCACGAAGCAGTACGTGCCCGTGAACGGGTTCTGCGTCATCGACATGGTCGACATGTGGACGGGGACGGTCGGCGGGCAGTGAGCCCGCGGCGGGGGGTGCGGACGAAGCTGAAGAAGCTCGGGGACGCTGCTTACGGATAGATCGTCGTGCTGTCGTTGCTGCTTGTACTAACATCTGTCGAACGTCAATGAACTGTGTGTGCTGCTGAGTTGCATCCAAGGTCTTGCTTACCGTAATGCTCGTGAACTACTCTGGTGTAGTTGGACGGTCGGGCAGACTCCTTGAAGGACGCGTCAGATCGCGCGATGTGCTGTGAATGGTGATGCATTGCATAGCGGATATTGCACCGCGAGTACTAAGTGGTGGGTGTGCGACATGCAGATGGAAATAGGGCATTAGCCGACGACTACTACGACCGCCCCCGCCCCCTCACAACCAACCCCTTCCACCGACTCCATACATCCACACACCGTCCCACCTCTCCCCCCAACACTCCGCATCCCCACTTCATGACGACGCCGCCCGGACAGACGCAGGGATAGGCTGCGCCCGTGCCGCACCCGGCGCCCCGGGGGCCTGCGCGCCGTCGTCCGCGCCCGCGAGCCCGAGCTTGGCGAGCGCGGCGCGGAGCGCGTCGAACACAGCCTGCGTCGGCGCGGGCTCGATGGAGTCGATCTGGTGCAGGTGGATGAGGCCCGTCTGCGGGGAGAACGTGTACGTCGAGTTCCTGGCGGCGCGCGCGCGCGTGAGCGTAGGAGGCTTGGGAGGGGTGTGGAGGGAAGGGGGGAAAGGCTGCTTACACGTCCCACCCGCCGCGCGCGCCGCTCACCCGCGCGACGCCCGACACGCTGAGCCCGAGGAAGAGGCTCTTCTCGCGCAGGGCGCGCTGCTTCTGCGGCGCGCGCGGGGCCCTGCCGTGCGGGTCCTGCTCCCCGCCTCCGCCGCGGCCTGCATGGCAACACAACGTCAGCGGCTCTCCCGGGGGCGGAAGGCGAGTGCGTACCGGACGAGGACCCGGGCCCGAGGACGCGCACGCGCGTGGTGCGCACGGTGAGGTCTGTGTAGAGCGCGTTCAGCGTGTGGCGCACGAACGCGGACGACGCGAGGTACAGCGCGGAGCCTGCGCGCACGCCGCGTCAGTTCCTCAGCGCCCAGCGACGGACGCGCGCCACGCACCTTCGAGCGTCAGCGTGCGCGGGAACGGCGGGGGCAGCGCGTGCGGCGGGGTGTACGCGAGGCGGACCGCGCGGCTGTATATGCTCTCCGAGTCGCCGTCCGGCCGCGCGGGGCGCCCCCCGCAGTGCGGATCCGCCGTCCCCCTCTCCGCGCCCTCGGGGGACTCGGACGCGGGCGGCCGCGCGACGAGGGGCGTCTCGAGCGAGGTGACGAGCCCGGTGTGGAAGAACGCGGGGAGCGTCTGCTGCAGTATCCAGATCGCGCGGCCTGGCGTGGTGCGCGGTCGTATGCGCGAGAGTCAGCGTGCCGCGGTCGGGGCGGGAGAGGGAGAGGGGGCGCTGGACGTAGCATCAGATCCTCTCGTGCTGGCGAGCCCGCACGCACGGGCCGTGCGGGGAGCGCGGGCTGGGGAGGAGGCGCACCTGTGCGGATCTCCCACTCCTGGTCGGAAATCTCGCCGTCGCCGTTGTTCTCTGGCTCTGGGTTTGGGGCTGGGTCCTGCCCGGACGACGACGGCGAGGGGCTGAACACGACGGGGCGGGCGGGCGCGTGTCGGCGCAGGGACTGCGCTATCTGTCGCGCGTGGCTGCCGTGCGAGCCCTCGCCACGCAACGGCACCGCGTGGGACGGCTTTTGTGCGCGCGCGGTCGTCTTGAGGGAAGAGTCGAGCAGCAGAGACGGGTCGGAGGCGTCGTGGTGTCCTTCGGGTGCGAGGGCGGACGCGGACAGCGCACGCGCGTGGCACGCGGTGCGCCGCCCGGCGACGCTGGCCCTGCGCTGGATGTGGGCGATGGTGCGGTGCATGAGGGTGGTGGTGGTGGCGGTGCAGAAGAGGCAGGAGACATGCGCGGTGCTCGTCGCTGAAGAAGAGCTGGACGCGCCTCGCCTCGGCAAGCTCGATCGTGCGTCACGCTTCATAGCGCTCGCTGAAGATCGCACACGCACAGGTAACATGGAACAAAGGTGATTATTGAATATTGAGTACGGAACCGGCGAGTTGAAATCAATTCAAGTCGATAGAACCCGGACGGCGCGCAGACTAGCATACGTATCGTGTCGGGTATACAGCAAGAGGGTAGTACGGGGTACGGGTCAGCGCGGTATCCTAGCGCTTGCGACAGGATGCGACAGACAGTATGCGGAACACGGTGTAGAAGGACAAGGGGGTCAGCTAAACGAGCGGTGTATGGTATGATGTGGGGGGCGGTGCAGTGCGAAACGCGACACGGGCCCAGCGACGAGCGACGAGACGAAACGCGGCCAGCAGGTTCCTCCGTGGTGTGGGCACCGTGCGGGGGATCCTGCTGCCGCCTAGAGCTCGTCGCAGAAGGGGATGTCGCCGTCGTCGTCGTCGCCGGTGTCGGTTGCGGAGGCGGCTGCGGAGGACGCGGCTGCGGTCGCGGAGGGGACGGTGAGGGCGCCCGTGGCGACACAGAGGACCTGGAGGGGCGGGCGTCAGCGATCCGATGCGGGGCGGGCGCGGGGGACACGTACCTCGCCGGTGTACATGTTGGCGCAGTCGGCGTCGATCTGGGGGTTGTTGTCCATGAGAACGGTGGTGTTCATGGTGTAGAGAGCGGCGAGGCCGTCGCAGGACTCGTCGGCGGTGACGACATGGGTGGTGGTGCAGTCGGAGCCGACGTAGCCGAGGCAGAGCTGCTCGCCGGGGGTGAGGTCGTCACAGCGAGTGTCGATATCGGGGTTGACGGTCGCCAGCTGGTAGCTGGAGAGAAAAAGGTGAGCGGGAGAGGACAGCGGGAAAGGCGGCGGAGAACGCACGTGGAGACGTTCTGGGCAGCGGAGATGCTGTCACAGATGTCGCCCGCCTTGACGGTGTAGGTGCGCGCGCACGACTGGGCGGAGGCGGCTGTTGAAAAAGAGGGGGTCAGCGGGGGAGGGGAGGAGGAGGCAGCGGGGTACCGTTTGCGAGGACGAGGGCTGCGAGGGACGCGACGAGGGAGCGCGAGAACATGGCTGCTGAAGGGAATGTGGGCGAAGGAGAGGCGTGCAGCTGGTCGCGCTGGTCGTGAACGGGGACGCAGAGACGAGAGATGAGAGAGACGCCCACGCTGCCTCCCGGCCTCGGTCGGCCGTTGCCGAGGCGAGGCACACGCAGCCACCGGCGCCCGTGCCGCCACACCGCCTCCCATGCGTCCCCGCTGTGTGCCCCGCCGCGCGCTGTCCGTGTCCGCCCCCGCCAGACACGACAACCCCCTCGTGAGTCCCCCGCCGCCCGCCCCGCCCCTGCTGACGCGCCCCAGGGCCTGCCCAGACGCGATGCCCCGCCGCAGATGCCCCGCAGAGGCGCCCCGCCCCCGCCGCGGCCCATCCCCCACGTCGCCCGCGTCCTCGCCGTCGCCAGCGGCAAGGGCGGCGTCGGCAAGAGCACCGTCGCAGGTCCGCCTGTCCATCCCCTGCCGCCGCGACCCCGCTGACACCCCCAGTGAACCTCGCCGTCGCGCTCGCCATGCGCCGCACGCCCTCGGGCGCCCGCCCGCGCGTCGGCATCCTCGACCTCGACATCTTCGGGCCCTCCGTCCCCATCCTCATGGGCCTCGCCCGCGCAGACGAGCCCCTCCTCACCCAGAGTGCGTTCCGTGTCATAGCATAACGACTTACCTTGATCACTCTATGCAGACGGCGCCCTCGTCCCCCTCACGAACCACGGCCTCCCGTGCATGTCCATGGGCTTCCTCCTCCCCCGTGCCCCCGACGCCGACTCCAGCGCGGACACCCCCGTCGTCTGGCGCGGCCTCATGGTCCAGAAGGCCGTCCAGCAGCTCCTCTTCGACGTCGACTGGCGCGCCGGCCCCGGCCCACCGCCCCCGGCCTCGACGTCCTCGTCGTCGACATGCCCCCCGGCACCGGCGACGTCCCCCTCACCCTCGGCCAGCTCGTCGCCGTCGACGGTGAGCACCCCCTCCCTCTCCGCGACTGACCGCCCACGCCCGCATCCCAGGCGCACTCATCGTGTCCACGCCGCAAGACGTCGCCCTCGCCGACGTCCGCAAGGGCGTCGCCATGTTCCGCAAGCTCTCCGTCCCCGTACGTCCCCCTGCTCCCGCCCCGCCCCGCCCCGCCCCGCTCACCGCCCCAGATCCTCGGCCTCCTCCTCAACCAAGCCTTCTACACCTGCCCCGCCTGCGCGGCGCCCCACCACCTCTACGGCCCGCCCGACGCCTTCCGCGCCGCCGCCGCCCGCCTCGGCGCCCCCGTCCTCGGCGAGCTCCCCGTCGCGCCCGCGGTCAGCGCCGGCGGCGACGCCGGCGTGCCGTACGTCCTCCTCGGCGAGCAGGACAGGGCGCGCGACGCCGCCGCGGGCGAGGGGTGGGACGCGATCATGGCGGGCGTCGCGGAGCGCGTGTGGGCGGCGCTCTCGACGAAAACAGACGGGAATGGAGGTGGGAGGTGAGGAGAGGCGAGGCGAGGCGAGGTCGCTGCGTGTCCTTAGCATGTTATAGGCCCCCCGCGGATGACGTCGTCGATACGTTACCGCGCACAGCAGGGCCCTGTCCTGTCCGCCGCAGCCGACAGCGCTACGCACGATGCGCCACAGCGCTCGTTCATTTCCCGACAAAAGGTCGCCTGGACCCGTAAATCTCTGGACCCCGAGTAGACGTACATAGCTACAACTGATATCGTATGGTACTTTTCAACAAAGGAGTACGCCTACACCTGCACGACGATCCGCCTGACCAGCCCCCGGCCCATCCGCTCGACCTCGCTCAGCACCGCGCGCTCGTTCAGGACCACGAGCGACCTCTCCTTCTCCTTCTCCCTCGGCTTCTCCGTGTCCTGGGAGACGGAGCCGCGCGTCAGCGAAGCGTGCAAGTGTGTGCGAGGGAGCTCGTACCTTCGTCGCGGGCACGCTCGAGAACCCGCCGAGGACGCGGAACGGCCGGGCTGCCCTCAGCGCCGGGTCCCACACGCCGCCGAACCGGTGCCCGCCCAGCGGGTCGTGGAACAGCACGAACGTGTCCTTGTACACCCGCTGCGAACGCGCGTCAGCTAACGGGCAGCGAGCGCAGAGAGCGCCGACCTACCTTGAGGTCCTCGTAGAACATCCGCGCGGGGTCGAACCCGACGAGGAGCTGCGCCCCGCCGCCGTCCTCCGCGCGCGCGTTCGCGTACTTGCGGTTCCTCGCCCAGACGGCCGGGTCCGCCTCCACGCTCTGCGCGTACCGCGGGAGCAACGCGGGCTCGAGCTCGACGACAAAGTCGTAATGCGCCGTCGGGTGCGCGAACAGCGTCTGCGGACCGTCAGTTCCGTTCCGCGAGCAAGGGCTGCGCAGCACGCACCTTCACCTCGAAGTCGCCCCCCTCCATCCCCCGCAGCGCCTCCCACGTCGCCTGCGCCAGCGCGCGCACCCGCCGCGCGACCACCGCGTCCGGGCCCTCCGCCGTCCACACCCGGCCCTCCGCGTCCCCCTCCGTCGCGAGCGCCCACACGCCCCGCCGCGCCCCCGCCTTCACGTCCACCCGCGCCTCCCCCTTCACGCCCGCCTCGTCCCCGTACAGCGGCACGAACATCCCCGCGCCCCACTCCCAGTCCTTCAGCAGCCCCATCACGCACGCGAACCCCCGCTCCTTCGTCCCCGGCACGCCCCCGCCCCCGCCGCGCACGAACACCCCCGCGCAGAGCAGCTCCGCCGCCTCCGCGCCGACGTGCGCCCCCAGCAGCCAGTGCGCCGCGAGCCACCGCTTCACGAGCCGCGCCGTCCCCGCGAACGCCGCGAACCGGTGGCCCAGCGCCGCCACCGCCCGGTGGTGCCGCGGCGCGTGCACGAACCGCCGCCGGTACGCCTCCAGCGCCGCCCCCGCGCGCGCCCCCTCCGCCGCCGCCGCCGCCTTCTTGACGTGCGCCGGGACGTGCGGCCGCCGGTCGTCGATGGCGCGCTCGAGCAGCGTCTGCTCGCGGTCGTGCCAGATCCGCGCGTGGAACGCCCACCCCGCCGCGGTCACGACCTCGAGGCACGCGTGGTCCGCGATGTCCGAGTCGCGCGCCGCGGGGACGACCACTCGCGCGGCGAGGCCCTTCTGCGCGTGCATGAGCGCGCGCGCGAGCGCCTCGAAGAACGCGAGCTTGATCTTCTGGACCGCGCGGAGGTCGTCCGGCCAGCGGCCCGACTTTTCGAACGCGACGACGATCTCCATCGGCGCGACGTATCGCGCGCAGGCGGGCAGCGCGGGCGCGACGGAGGGGGGCGTCGCGACGGGCGCGAGGGCGCTGGTGTACCGCAGCGCGTCTGAGACTGGGCTGACGGTGGTGATCGCGAGCGGGAGCTGCTCGTCGAGGGCCTTCATCGCCTTCACGAGGCCGTCGAACGCCGCCATCGCGGCCTTGAACCCCGTCTCCGTGCGCCCGTCCCTCAGCACGCTCCCGATGTCCTCCGGCAGCCGCACGATCGCGTCGAAGCCGCCCTGCCAGCCGCGGACGCTCTCCTCCGGGAGCCCCAGGTGGCGCGCGAGGATGTACTGCACGATCAGCGCCGGGATGTGCGCGCGCTCGTCCGAGCTGCCGACCGTCCAGACGACGCTCTCGACGATGCTCCCGTCCTTGAACCGCCGCAGCTCTGCCTTTTCGCCCCAAAACTCGCGGAACTGCTTCGACGCCTCCGTCTCCTGCTCCGCCGCGGGCGGCCCGTGGTCGACGAGCCGGAACGCGTGCTCCGTGTCGAGGATGAGGCCGAGGAAGACCGTCGAGGGGTTGGAGGGCTGGGCTTGAGAGAGGGGGCGCGGGGAGGACGTAGGGTGGAGGACGGCGATAGCTTTTGTGCGGTTCCCCAGCGCTCGCCGGGCGGTGGAGAGGAGGAGGGAGAGGAGTGCGTTGTACGCAGAGCCATGCTCGAGGATGGTGTGGGTGGAGAGGTTCCGAGGTTCCGTGGAGGAGAGGTCAACGCTGACGGATAATGATAAGTGCCGGGCCACGATAGTATGGTTCGGTAGGTACGTACCGTAGGACAACATCAAACCTATTCGCTACGTCCCTTTGCTCTTTCAGGAAAACGAGAGGGAACGGGTCTTCAGTTAGACCGGAGTTGTCTAGCACGTCCAAGGTTTGCTGAGCGTCGCGACGAAGCTATGTATCTTTCACGTCAGCGGCGCTGCGTGACGGGTCTTTCACGATGCTCACCATCTCTAGCAAGCTCAACGGCACACCAGCAAGCAAATTGAGCATGGACGACGAGTCCACCAGCACGGCTTCATGGGAAGCATACTCGTCTGGCGGGAACTACCTCCAAGTCAGTCAGTGATAGCAGAATATCAAGACGCAGGGGGCATACTCGATGGCCATCCTTAGCTTTGACAAACACGCGGTCCTTCGCAAAGTCGTGTCTCGCTGCAGGAGACGTGATTCAGTACCAGTTCTGCACCAGGTCAGAATCCGGCCTTACCAAGGAAGTCCAGCGCCGCCTTGAACAGCTGGTACGAACTGAGGCCTTTCCCGAGCGGCCGCCTCTTCTCCTTTTTAGCGAACCCAAACGGACGTCCGCCGTCCGCACCCTCCTCGCCCATGACAAGACACTCCAGCAGCCCTGCCCACCACGGCCCACGACCATCGAACCCTCTGACACACAGCCTATCGCCCACGCCGTACCCGCGCTGGTGCGCCCACACCCGCAGAAGCGCAAGCGCGTCACTGAAGGCGGGCACGCTCTCCTTGAGTGCGTGCGTTGAGACGAGATGGGGCTTAGGGGTGCAGTGCTGGATGATGCGGGAGTTGTAGATAGGGCTCGGAGTGTCGCTGGCGGCGTCACTCGAAGACGCGGACGTGCGGATGTTCGACCGCGAGGGGCCTAGCCGTTGCGGCGGGATGGGGGAGGGCGAGGGGAGGACGGGGAGGATGCGCACTTCGGCGCTGAGCGTGGAGAAGTCGGATGCGGAGCCATCCTGCTTGGGACGCAGCACGAGTGTCGTCAAACGGGGATCGCCGTTCGTCGAGTCGTAGAACACCTCCACGTTCAAGCCGCTCTTCTTGTCAGACACCGCTGCGGCGATGACGGCGAGGTAGTACGCGCGTTTTTGGAAGAACCGGCTGTGAAGATAGTCCTTCTCTTGGAAGAGCGACTGCAGTCGGCGGCAAATGTCAGTTGAACTGCTTAATCTCCTGAAACAGACGACGCACCTCCGGCATGGTGACAGCGACATCGACCCCATAGCGGTAACCGTCCTTCGCCTTCACGCTCGTCTTGAGCGCCCAGCTTCCGACGAGGAGGATCTCGGTCGGCTTCTCAAAGGCGACCTTCCAGTTCGTGTCTTCGGTCGGCTGGGGAAGTACGTACGGAACGGAGACCGCCTTCTTCTGCAGGTCGCGAGAGGCGGCTAGCGGGTGTTTTGGTGTGATGGACGGGAGACCGGTGAGATAGCTATGGAAGGAAAGAAGGAACTTGTCGAGCGGCGCAGATCGGTGATACTTTGCTCGGACATTCGGTAGTAGTGCATCAATCTGAAGAGGTTTTGCTTAGAATATGGCGAGAGAGAAAGGAGGTGTACTCACCTGTAACTTGAAGGACGTAGACCTGAAGAGGTCTGTAGCATCCTTGATATCTCTCAGCTCCTCGCCCTTCGGAGGTGCCTTCACATGTATGGTACCGTTCTCCTGCGCATCCTCCGTCGGTTCAACGAGTTCAACGTGGCCTTCACTGGAAGCGTCGCTTGCTGCGTCGTCGTCAGAGCCGTCTTGTTTCTCTTCGTGGTCCTCGAAGTGGGCCTGCGAGGAGACCTGACTTGGTCCGGACCCGTGCTCACTGTCTGGAGTGGTATGACGACGCTATACGCATGCAGGCTGAGTGCGGAGATGATGAGGGGAGTAGCAGTAGTGCGCACCTTTGCCTTTGAGAGAGAGATGTCCTGGACGCGCTTTCTCTTGAGGTGGGATGCCATCCCGAGCCAGAGCAGTCCTTCGCCCAGGCGCCCATGAGCAAATCGACAGCTCTTAGATCGCGTGCCCGATCGATCCTTCCACACGTGCACTCGATCAGCGTTGGTCCCGTTCCGACTCGGAGTTCGTGCTCCTCAGCTGCTCCTCAGTCTTCAACTGCTCCGAGTGCTCGAGAGAACTCACCTCGCTGCGAAAGTCGCGCTCGTCGTCAAGCTGGCCCACGCATGCTTTTTGTGCTGCGACAGGCGCATGCGTTCCCATCGCCCCGTGATCACGCGAATCCCGCTGTCGGACAAGTACATGGTACTCAACGTCATGTTTCTGCTTATGCCATCTTGGCGGGGAACCAACGACCTACTGAGCATGAACTCCTGCACCAGACAACACATGGAAGGCGCAGACTGAGGGTGCATGGCGCACTGTATGTGATTTCGAGCATGATTAGCCCGCGTAGTCGGACAAGTCTCCTGGAGGTGAGTCACATCCGATATCGTAGCCTCCCTTCTTACCGATGTAGCAATATTCTGCACGTCCCCGCGACAGACTTTTCGTCTTATGCATCAAGCAATACTGCGGGCCCGAAGGCTAGGACGCCGAGCTGCCGAAGGTGTAGGGCCGGTACAGGCGCCCGCTTGCCTGGGGCGCTTCACGGAATCCCAGCGGCACGGAGGCCTTCCCCCGAGGAAACGTCCAACTTACTTGCGTGGGCAACAACAGTCGATCTGCTCGTCCGCAGCGTCAACGACGCAAGATCAAAATGATGGTTGTGTCGGCTACTTAGCGGGTTCCGATGTCCGTTCATGATCGACCTCGCATCGCAACTCCTACTGAGGACCACTGGCAGACGAAGGTTTTAAACAACGCTCGCGTCGAGTTCATGCCAAATTACTTATTCATGTTCATGAATGATTGCTCTCAATGGCTCTTCGTCGGGCATCCCGGCTCACGCCAAGTTTCGAGCGGATCGACCGGTGACAGCTATAATGCTGATCGCCCGTCTATGGGCACATTGTCAAGCCAGCCCACGACCTCCGTGTACGTGTGCTTCAGCGGTGTCTGCCATGTGGATATATGCACAGCCCTGGTCTGCGTACACCGACATGTTGACTCATTGAACAGGCGGCATCCATAGGCACGCAGCCCTGGCTCCGAAGCCCGCCATATATATGGCTGTTTGTGCTTTCCTCAGGCCCGAATTGCACCTTCACTTCACTACGTTTCGTCGTCGGTTCTGCGCTTCTTCTATTTTCGATCCTCTATTTTTGATACCTGTTGGCCCCCTTAATATTGTTCGCTGTCTCCGATGACTTTGCAGGGTGTGTCGTTTTACCACAACATGTCTCATTGCGCTTCTAACAAAGCCCCCGCTCAATAGCTCGTAAGCTACTCAAACACAACCCTTACGGCTACGTTCCCACCGAGTGGATATGTATTCTCTTCTTGGTTCTCTTCGCAGTCACCACCGGTACGCCCGTAGCCTCCCTCCGTACCGCACCGGCACAATGACCCCGTTCGTCTTCAGTCCTGCACACTGTTCAAGCGGTCCGGTACCGTCTCTGGTTCCTGCTGTATACCGCCTGCCTCGCGGGGGTCCTCGAGCTCGTCGGATGGAGCGGGCGCGAGTGGTCCGCCCACGATATCCTGCAGATGACACCTTACCTCATGCAGTAAGCCTTCGTCGAATCCGCGTGCCTCGCCGCTGTCTCACAGTTTCCCTTCAGGATAGTATGCACGATCATCGCGCCGACGCCGTTCGTTGCGGCCATGTTCGTCGTGCTCGGCGAGATGATCCGGCGGTTGGGGTCGTGCTATAGCCGGTTGGGCACGAGGGCGTGTGCGTATCCGTGTCTCCATAGCGTACATGAGGGCTGACCACTTGCGCTGCACGCAGATACCATTGTATTCTGCAGCTGTGTACGTCGCGGCTTGGCATGCGGGGGTCTCTCATGCGCTTATTGTCGATGTAGGATGTTATTGCGTTGGTCATTCAAGCCGTCGGTGGTGTCTTCGCGTCGACTGCCGTCGCGAGAGGCGAGAGTGCCCAAAACGTGAGCAAATTTGTGTTCGTAGCGTAGACATGTCTTACCGCTGCGCGCAGGGCGGTCACATCATGCTTGCCGGCATCTGTTTCCAACTAGGTGCGTTCTCCAAAGTCGCTTCCGCATGCCGAAGCTGGATATATCCACCCGCAGTGGCCATCACGTTCTACATGATCCTCGCCTCCGAGTTCGTCGTTCGTTGTTTGCTGGACAAGCCGCTGCGTGCGGGCGACAAGACCGTCAAGCCCGCCACGCACACATTGGACCGCAAGCACGCGATTATGCTCGGCGCGCTCGCCTTCGCCAGCATTTGCATCTACATCCGGTATGGCGCTCCTTCCTGTCCGATCCTTGTAAGCTGCTCACAACGCTGACGCAGGTCTATCTATCGTACGATTGAACTCGCGGATGGCTGGACGGGCCACATCATCAGGACGCAGCGTTACTTCGGTATGTCCCTCACCTTCCCGTCGCCTCCATTTCCCTCACGTCGTCCTTGCAGACTGGCTGGACGGCGGGATGGTCGCGTTCGCGATGTTCACCCTCAACTCCGTGCACCCGGGCGTGTTCCTCGGCCCGGGAAGGACGTGGAACGCGAAGGCAGACGCGCCAGTGTCACAGGTAGAGGCGATTTGTCTGGATAACCAGAGCGGGTATGCGAGCAGGGAGACCTTGCATGCGAAGATGCAGAGGTTGTACCATGCAGAGGGTGCGGTGTGAGATGCGACGAAGCAGATCTGGACGATCGCGTCTCAAAGTCGCCCGCAACAACGGTGTAGGTGTAGATGTCTATGCAGAGCATAAGCTTTCCGTGGCAAGTCTGCTGGCTCCTGGTCTGCTTATCAGCCCAAGTGGCAAGACGGCAACATGCAGCTTGTCAGAGAACCACCAGTGTGGAAAGCGCGACAAGGATCTTGTGCAGTCGCTGTGAACTGTCTGAGCGGGAAGGAATATCTACATCACACCACACTGGCTGTTGTTAGGTCACATCGGCACCGGGAGTCGGGGCATTGCGTCACACTAATCGCTCTTATTAAGTACCGTCTCGTTCGTTTCCATGGCACATGTCGCTCCTTCGTTCGTCAGACTACTAACATACATAGTAGCCTACCTTGCTCCCAATTGCAGGACTCGGAGGCTGAGTCGCGGGCATAGGCTCAAGCTCAAGTTGCGGGTGTCGTATTCCAGATGAATGAGTCTCAGGTTCCTGGTCTCGTTCGGCACTTCCCACTTGAATCCACATCACTGCCGATTCCGCACAGGCAGTATGGACCATCGCCTGGGAGTTCAAACGTTCATCCTCATGGGGTGGCGGCGACGCAAATCATTTGCTTTCTTACTTACTATGTTAGGAAGATTTGAGATCTCCGATCACTTGGTTCATCGTTGACTGGAACGTTGATAGCGCTCAAGCTGATCCCGCACGCCGAACCTCATGCAAGTTCGCACAGTACGATTCTAGGGAAGATTCAACATTGAGAGTTTGAAGTCGAATACCGAAGTGACTCAAGCCGCGTCAGGAAGCACTCAGGCTGCACGACTGACAGTGGTCAGTGTTTATATGCTGTAAGCGACATCTCATACTAGAACGAAGGAGTCGTCTGAAAGGATAATATGCACTGATATTAACGGACCCACTGTAGATTTGTTCGCACTCTGTGCATTCACTTACGCTTTATCCATCAATCCGAAGGACGTATGATTGGTTGTAGGTCAGAGAACTTGAACACGGTATTGTCGTGCATGCTAAGCTCTTGTCCCCGAATTCTAGACCTCATGCTGCATAGCGGCTAGTACAGACGTCTCAACTGACACGCGGTGCAGTCGTCCATCCTGACTCGGAGGCTCATCGTGTATACGGCTGTGTCAACTACACGCAGCCCCAGTCTGCTTGGCTGACCAAGGGACGCAGCTGTAGTTGTGCACAAAGCTTCGAGCATACCACGCCACACCACACGGACCAGCTCCCACCTACTGTGAACCATATCGCCACACCCTGCTATCGCGGGTCTCGACTCTTCCGACTCGCAACCGGCTTCCGTCGACGTTCGTGATTGCACCACTGGCAGCGAACAACTGCGCACACCGTTCTACATAGGTGTCACCGGAATGCACACACAGATGACCGAGGTCTCTGTTGACGAGATGTTCGATCGCTTCATCCCCGGTGGTGAGCCAACTGATGCGGAGAAGGAGACTTTCTTCTACAATGACGGCATAAACAACGTCGGAAAGGAGTTTCAGCTCTACCGTACTGTTGTGCGTCTGTCATACACACGTTATCTACCCCCTTCAACTTCTCAATCATCTTTACAGTGTCAAATTGTGCGATCGATTGCGGAAAACACCCCCGGCAGCCCACCTTTCTTCGCAGTGGATATCTCATCTCGAGGTGTCCCGGAGTCGGAGGATAAAGAAGACGCAAAGACTTTGCTCACGCCTGACGTCGGGATCTATCCAGATACCGCTGACGTTCGACAAGCCGTCCTCCTTGGTTCCAACGATAAGAAGAGCCGCCTCTATACCGACGAGGATTTTAAAGGCAGGCGGAAGGAAAGACAAAAGTCCATGAGCGTGGCACAGAAATTCGAGAACAACGCACGCCTGCAGTGGTCCGGAAGGTGTTCATGGGCCGACCTGATGGTTCCCGTCGAGGCCAAGATCGAGCATCGGCACTCCGCCTTCGAGTTTCTGCAGCCACGGAAGAAGGCACTCACTCGGCATACTTCGAAAGATGGTAAAGATGCATTGGGCCAAATCTCCACCTACATCGCTGAAATCCTTGGGCGTCAACACCGTGTTCACGTGTTTGCCCTCTACCTGTTCAGGGGATACGGCCGCATACTCTTTGTCGACCGTGGCGGGTGGATCGTTTCGAAGCCGTTCATGTATGGCACTCGAAACGACTTCGCACTGCACCGTTTCCTCTGGAGACTTGCCCGCATGCGGCGCGACGAACAAGGCTACGATGCCTCTGTCAGGCGTGCGAATGCGGACGAGATTCAAAGGATGCGAGACTACGCGCCTCGGGCACGCACGCCATATCTTCGCAGCTGTGTCTACCGTGCCCTGTCGTTGGACGAGCAGCAATTGAAGCCGTTGACTTCCCAGTGGCCTGTCTACGTGGTGACGATGGGGGTGCGGCAGCTAGTCATTGGCAAGCCATCGTCGTGGAGCCAGCCAATCGTGTCCCGCGCAACACGAACCTACGTCGCCTTTGACTTGCGCGATGAACGACTTCTCTTCCTCAAAGATGGATGGCCTTCGTCGGGACATGGTCGCCTCCCACGTGAACACATTGTTTACGAGAGGCTGCAACGGGCGAATACTGTGGGCATCCTCCCTTGTTTGGGAGGCCAGGATGTCGTCAGCCAGCCAGAAAACAATGTTCAGCTAACAAGAGCACACCCGGAGGATCATACTGGACTACGGCGTGTGCATTACCGCATCTTGCTCGGTCGTGTCTGTCGCCCGTTGTCGGATTTTGGCGATTTCCAAGAGCTGACCCAAATACTGACTGCTGCTCTGCGAGGTCAGTGATATCATGTTCATCGTCTCTTGCCACTGCATTGAGGTCCTCATCTTCGACCTAGCCCACCAGAGCGCCTGGAACGATGCTGGCGTTCTCCATAGAGACATCAGCTTTGATAACATCCTAATAGACGAGTTCTTGCCAGCCGAACTTGAAAGTAGGTATCTCTAATCAGTATATGAGGCAATCTGAGCTGCATCGCTGACACGTTCCCAAAGTCAATATGATACAAGGCGCCGAAGACGGCACACAACTCTTCCGGATCGGTGTACTCGCTGACTGGGACTTGTGCAAATATAAAGAAGATATGGTCACGGGTGACGCACCACAACAACCGGACCGTATAGTACGTGTTACGTTTGATTCATGAATGAATACGTCACTCACAAGTTGGAACTTGGGACACCGACCGACAGGGAACGTGGTACTTCCGGTCAGCTCAATCACTTCAGTACCCTCTCAAACCGTATGGGATCGACGACGACATTGAATCCTTTATCCATGTCTACCACTATGCTATTCTACGCTTCCATCGTACCGATCGAAAACACACCTTGGCGCTATATGTTGAAGAGGTGTACGGGCAAGAATTCATACGCCCCGCAGACAAGATTCACGTCGGTGGCGAATCCAAGCTCAGAAACATGCGGTCCCAGGCTCCGCCCTTCGAAGCGGAGGAGAACAACACATTGAACGCGTTCTTGCGGGACCTCGCGGGCCTATGTGCTGCTCACTATGCCACTATCGACTTCTCCTCGTACAACACAGCATACGGGGTTCCTATTCCGGACTCAGACGAGTCTACAACCGATACCACTGCCGCGAGCAAAACGCAAGTATACAACAAAACCTTAGATTTCCTCGCCATCCTGAGGGCTCGCACCGTCACCACTACTCAGTCGACCAGCCAGACCGTGACACCGAAGATGACTTCGGCGAGCGGCGACAGTGTCCCTTCGATTGCGACATCTTCGTTAGCCTCGAGCTCAAGCAAACGACCTGCTATCGAGCCCGTCTCCGCGTTCAAAACCCATGATCAACTCTTCCAGCTCTTTCTCAAGTATAGCGGGTACGAAGGTGTGGAGGGCGCAGATGTCCGAATGGTGGCCTGGCCGCAGCGGGACTTGTACAAGCATATCGACCAGTTCCAGGCGAGTGGCATGATGGTCAGTAGCGAATCCTCGGAGTCCGGCGTGCACGATCTGACTTCGAGAGACAACACGAGCGAGATGTCCAAGAGTAATGACGGCTCGGCCTCGGAGTACGAGTCAGGATTAAGCAAGCGGTGACTGAGAGCTGCGACTGAGCCTGAAAGGGAAAGGAAGGGCTTGATGAGATATCCTTGGGATGTAACATGCCTGTCACGGTGAATATAACCTAGCTTCATAATGTGTGTCAATGCGACTCGCTCGTACTATAGGCCATGTATACGCATACGGGCATGCTTGACATCTCGGTTCTAGACGTAGTAGTACACTAATAGTAGGAAAGCGGGCAGCACAGCGCTCCAGCTTCAGCGCATATGTCCAGGTTCAACCTTGCCTGTACTATTACAATGATGCCTTCTGTGTCCCGCCGTCGCCTCCACCTTCTGACGTGGCTCCCATCTGGCGCGAATCGGGCATGATGCATTGATTTTGCTCGTCGCATTGGCCGCTGAACAGATGGGCCACTCAACGTGCAAGAAATTGTACCACATCGTCAGCCCGATCACTGGTCCTGCGAGAACACCGTTTCTCAATTTGTGACCCACACACGGTACGCTTGACTGCTACATGTCTCCTATAGGTGGCTGAAGAGAGCTGTGCGTACAGGGATGTCGATTCCGAGTGAGACGGACTCGTCCCCGCCGCTGCCGGTCGAGGCCGCGCGGGTTGCACCCGACCGCCCGACGACGACAATTTCTCAATGACCCCTCGCCGACCGGCCGCGCTCGCCCTGTCCGCAGCCGCTCTCTTCCGGCTCTGGAGAGGAGTACCTACGGCCATGGCCCGCGCTGGAGGGCCTCCCTCTTTCCCCTCTTCGTGTTCCCGTCATGTCTGTCCGACTAGGTGCTCCTCAGGCTATCCTGCGCGCACGCGCGTCTTCGGACGACTTCAACCAGAACCCGTACGAGTACCTGCCCACTGAGTGGATATGTATTCTATTTCTCGTATTGTTCTCTCTGTCTACCGGTGCGTCAGGTTTCTCCCTCTCCGGCGGCTCCGCTCAGTATCGGACAGCCCTTCATTTTGTAGAGACCGTGCACACTCGTTTATGGTGGCTTCTGCCCACTGTATGCACCGCCGGTGCTCTTGAGATATTGGGCTGGGTCGGGAGGTTGTGGTCGAGTCTGAATGTCGATGCAGAGAACCCGTATTTGATGCAGTATGTACTGTTCTCCTATCTTACCCCGTGTTGCAACTCTGAGCGCAATGGCTCGGAAGGATCGTGACAACGATTATTGCTCCGACGCCACTGGTAGCTGCAAATTTTGTCATCCTCGGCGAGCTCATCCGCCGCCTGGGTCCACGTTACAGCCGCTTAAGTCCTGTGTGGTGTGAGTTCCCGACTTACTGTATTGTTGACGGCTGTTAGATGTTTATACGGATACCACCAGATACCGCCGTCTTCGTGAGCTGCGTAAGCATCGCATTTCCTAACAGCTGACCCCACAGTCATGACAAGATGCACACAGGACATCATTTCGTTAGTCGTGCAGGCTGTCGGTGGAGGTATAGCCGCGACTGCTGTCAACCAATATGAAAGCCCCGCTACCGTATGCCCCATGCTTCTCGTCTCCCTCGTGTGCTGACCCTGGCCCTTCAGGGAGGGAACATCATGCTTGCCGGTATTGCTTTCCAAATGGGTGTGTATATCCTACGTCATTATTCCGCAGGACACCCATGAATCTGAACCACTACTAGCTTCGATCACTGTCTATATGCTGCTCGCAGCCGAGTTCGTGCTCCGCTTCCTGCACGACAAGCCAGTCAGGAACGTCGTGCACGCCGCGGGCCACCACCACTTCAACCGGAGCACCAAGCTGATGCTCGCGGGGCTGACCTTCAGCAGCCTATGCATATACGTCCGGTGCGTACCACCATCCCGCGCTTCTACCCCGTGCTGATCCAGGGCTTCCGCGCAGATCCGTCTACCGGACAATCGTGAGCACTTACTACCGCCCCCGAGCGACTAACGCCGATCTGCGACTGACGATCGCAACGTCAGGAACTCGCCGAAGGGTGGGACGGGTACATCATCACGACCCAACACTACTTCAGTAAGTCCGCCCCAGATCCACCGTACTGACGCTCACTCGCCGACGCATGCTAGACTGGCTTGACGGCGGGATGATCACGCTCGCGATGTTCTGCCTGAACGTCCTCCACCCGGGCTACCTCCTCGGGAAGCGCGAGACGTGGAAGGCGTCCCGCGGTGACTCCGAGAAGCTGAACAGCGAGCCGGCCACGCCGGTGAAGACGGTGGTGTCCCGTAGGTATCCATAAACATATCAGTTCTCAAGGAAAATCGGGAGTCTAGGACGCCGAAACGAACAGCCTGGGAACACTTGTAATGCCTCCCGTCATGTATATTATTACTGTACAGCCTACCTGTTGACCTAATGCAGAACTCGTCGGTACATCCCGCATCAACTTCGCATTACCCAAGCGTCACGGCGCCGGACAACGCGCAGTACCATCCCAGCTAATGTCTTTGGATATCAGGATCCCTAATGCGCGTATTCGAAGGTACTGTCGCCGGTGCGGACGGGGTTTCAGTGTGGGGTTGCGATGAAAATTCTCGCCGACGCCGGTCACCAGAACGCAGAGCCATGTGCATTACCGTCCCTTCTCAATCCCCGGACTGTACTATCATATGATATACTCGTCCCGCAACGAAAGACACGAATGATACAGAACAGTCGTTGTACGACGAGAACCCCATGGTACTGATACAGAACAGTCACTCGACGAGAAGATGCGTAGTACGCCGAAAAGACGAGGTATCGACACAACCAAGAGTTCTAGACGTCCTTCGAATCTAAGTACACGGGCGGCAGCGATGTGCACAATCAGGCACCGTCATGGTCTTCTTGTACATCAACAGATGCAATGTACTTTTGTATGTTGTCCTCCGCCGTGCCGTCCCAGCTCGTGCCCTCCATCACGCAGGCCCTCCACGACGGCGAGGCACGCGTCGCAGCGAGAATCTCAGCGATGACATCTTGGTTGAGCGCCATCGAGTGCCCAGTGCGAGGCGGTGCTCCTCCATCGACCGTCAGAGGCCGAGGTGGTAGCTGTGCCAGTAGAGTAGGGTTGCGGTCGAGATCAGCAGTGTCCGGGCGGTCACGGCGGAAGAAGCCTGCCACGTCCGACGGAGAGCGCAATATGTCTTCTGACAGGATCCAGTCTTGCCAGATGATGTCCGCAGGTATGTCAGGATCGACGGGCGCGAAGGGGTGGTGGCCGCGGACGCGCATCTCCTGGAGGATGAACAGACAGGCGAACGGCGCGTGCCTGTCTCGGACATCGAGCCCGAGGGCTTTACCGTGGAACAATCGGAGATCTGGATTGTCAGAGTAGTTGACGAGTATGAACTTGCGGATCTGTCGCCAGTTGCATGACACGTTCACGGAAAGAAGAGAATAATAGGGCTCACATTGGGTATGTAGCATATGAAGAAGAGGTAATTATTGAAAAATGCACAGTCGTTAGGACACATTAGCAGGCCGTTGCGTGGTTCATGTTCGGGATGTCGTTTGGCCTGCCGCGGGATCCACCGACGTCTGCGGAAATCCTTCCACTGTCCAAACTTTGTGTCAGCCCGTAAGAACATTGGCATGCACATAAGAATGACTGACAACTTCGGCTTCCGATTGCGAGATGATATGACAGCGCTGAAGGACGGTCTGGATCCCACAGACGACCTAGAACGGTGTCGCGGCGGTCTATGCCTGCGTCGAAGGCGGTGGTCGTCGACAGTTCGGAAATGGAGTGTTGATCCCACTCGAATCCCGGGGGAGGTCCATTCGTCAGGGGAAGTGGAATATGTGCGAGAGACGGCATGGCGGTGGCAGGCAAGCCAGGCTGCGACTCGGAGAGGGGAAGAACCCCGGGAAGATCGGAGTTCCCATTCTGGACATGGTGATCGAGATGGGGCCGTCGAGTCGGAGCGCCCGCGGAACCCGCGCGCACGCAGACTGGCTCGACGGCGGCATGATCTGCGTCGTCATGTTCGCGACCCGGCCACTGCAACGGTAGACGACGCGATGGGTTGCCAGTAGGTGGTTTCATACAGGGTGCGTACCACTATCGGACTGTTTGCTCATCTCTTGCAGTCGCAGGGACGGCTCTCTGCGTCGCAGCCCATCCGCGATTTGCTTCGCCGACGATTAGTCACTGCATTTGGTTAGTACACCTCATCGGACGTACCTAGCTCTCGATCAACGCGAGTATACAATGTATACGGCGTGGGTGCCTGCGTCCGTCGTTCGTGTGCACTTTCGTCCACAATGTTGGAGCAACTGGACAATGTAAACTGGCAAGGGGTAACTCGGATTGTCTGCTCTAACACATCATACCCCGCTATCATCAGGTCTCGCGTTCAGTCACACAGCCCAGGTGGATGTCCGTCATATCTGCCTCTGCGACAACATCGCAGAGATTCCATGTCAATCCGGGATCCAATCCCATAGTCATGCGTACACCCGCCATCCTACAGTCACAACGCACCGTGCCCGCTAGTCCTCAATGACGATCACGTCGTCCGCAGCCGGTGCCCGCGCCGTCCTCCTCCTCCTCGCCGGCGGCTCCGCCCCATCACGCGCCGCACCCCCGCCGGACTCCTGCGTGCGCTCCCGTTTCCGCTTCGCCCCCACTGCCCGGCCGTGCGGCACCCGCCCCTCCTCGTCCGAGTCGTCGATGGTGATCGCCTGCGTGCGCGTCGACCCCGCCGGGCCCGCACGCGACGTGGCCGCGGGTACGGGCGCGGGAGACGCGGTGGCCTTGCCTTTACCCTTGGCGGAGGACGGGGCGGGCGGCGGGCGCGCGTAGAGCTCCGTCCACTTGCGCGCCGTGCGGTTGTGCTGGGGGCGGTTGCGGACGTACTCCGTCGCGATGGACGGCACGAGCGGGTCCTCTGTGGGTGGGGTCAGCGGCGGCGCGCGGGAGAGGGAGAGAGGGCCGGGGACTGACTCGGGTTGGGGTCCGTGAGGAGGGACGAGATGGAGAGGATGACCTTGAAAAGGGAGAGCGCGGGGGACCAGTTGTGCTTGAGGATGTCGATGCAGATGTTGCCCCGCTCGTTGATGTTCATGTGGTAGATCCTGCGCGGACGCGTCAGTATCGGTGCCCCCGACGCCACGCGACGCGCCGTGCACGCGACTCACCGCGTGCGGAACGTGACTCTAGGCGCGCTGAACCTGTGGGTGGCGCTGGTTCAGCCACACTCGCCGGAGCGGGGACGCACGCACTCACGGATAGTCATGGGCGAGGGTGATCTCGACGTGGAAGAGCCCGTCCTCGTACACACTGCCCTCTGGGCCGGGGATCGTCGCCGTCCAATTGAAGAGGTTCTCGTCGGAGGGCGCGAGCGTGATGCTGCCGAGGTCCTCCTTCTTGAGGTCCGCGATTTCACGGTGGATGCGCTTGAGTGTCGTCTGGGGACGGTTAGCGGGTGCACGGGCGAGAGAGAAGATGCCTGGATACCTACGGATGAGGAGAGCGGGGGAGGCATGCTGAGCGTCGGAGGTCAAGCCAGGGACGGCGTCTGGCCAACATGGCGCACGGGAAGCTCGTACATAAGGGAGACCTAACGCGGGAAAATATTTAATGATTTCCGTGTGGCTGAGAGCTGACATTGAGGTGAGTCAACCTCAGCCAACCACTCGTCCTCCCTCACTGCAACCACAGTGTATAGTTTGGACTGCCTGCCTCTTTGACGGCGGGAACTACCATGATCACTCGAATATCTCTCCGTGCTACACTATAAACTTATCTCTATCTAACCATGCTCAGCGACCTCGAATCAGAGAGCTCCCGCGTCCCCAGCCCTTGGGACCCCTTCCTGCCCTCTCCGCCCTCGGGCTGCTCAGCAGACAGCCTCAAGCACATCCACGACGGCGTACCTAAGCTTCTGCCAGAAGTGGAAGAGGTGACTTTCGCGTCCCGCGCTCCGCGTCCATACCACTTACTCACTCGCGTCTCCGCACACAGGGTAACGTTGAGTACAAGCTCAAGCTCACCCACATCTCCACCGCCCGCTTCGCCCGACTCGTCACCCAGCTGAAATGGCGGCTCCTCGAGGGCGGTGGCCAGGCGTACTACGAGCTCGGCGTTGCCGACAGCGGCGCCCTCATCGGTCTCTCGCGCGCCGACCTGGAAGCCTCCCTCGAGACCCTGGACCGCATGGCCGGCGAGATTGGTGCGTCCGTCATCGTCGTGAAAGAGATCGAGGTGCCGCCTGCCATGTACGCCCTCGCCGAGGAGGCCTCCCGCTACATCGATCCTCGTACCGGCGAGTGGGCGGGCCGCATGCATGCTCGCCGTCGCGGCAGCCCTCTCACCGGGGCCGACGACGACACCGCGGCAACGGAGACTACAGAAACAGAAACGGAGACGGAGACGGAGCTCGACACCACGGATATGGACGACGACGACGACGCGAGCCCTAGCGCGTTCATCTCCGAGCTCGCCACGCCCGCCGACTCCTCCCGCGCCTCGCCCATGCCCGGCCTGCCCGTTCCAGACAGCTTCGTACACCGAATTACCACACACCCTAATCGGCCGTCCCCGCAGTCCTCCCCGTACATCGCGCCCTTCGATGACGACCTCGCCATGTTCTCCATGGAGCCCGAGCCGCCGCATCTAGACATCGACACTGGCCACGGCACTGCACCTGCTACCGTGCTTTCTCCTATTCCGTTTGTAGTTGACCTTGAGATTGCGTCCGTGTACAAACCGCGGCCTTTCAGGCGCTCGGTGCCTGTCCCGGTGCATTCCGGTCCAGTGACGCTGCACGGACGAGCGGGGCGACGGGCTAAGTACACAGACAAGGGGGCTGGCAAAGAGAAGAAGGCTCACCCATGGCAGACGGGCAGCACCGTGCCCACGACGCGCAAGGGAAACGCCAGTGCCGATGCGGTCACTGGTACCAGCGCGAGCATCGTGATACCGAACGGAGAGGAGACGAAGGCTGCCCTTCGGAGACAGGCGCGCGAGCGGAGACGCGAGGAGAAACGGCAGGCACTGCTTGCAGCGAGTGGCTTCGCACCCTCAAGCTCCACGGCCACTAGTGCAGAGACCACCTCCCCAATCAGACAGGACGACTCGACGATTCTTCCCACCGCCTCTCTTATTGGGCCCGACGACTTGACTGCAGAGGCCACATCGGTGGCAGCGGAAGCGATGGCGGAAGACCTCATCTCGGGCTTGGTGTCTCTCCATGTCGGCGTTGAACCAAGCGAGCCGGCAGACATCGGACTGGATGCCGTTGTGTCCATTGTCGAGGCGGATAGCCCAGGCACGACCACAGACGTGACCGTCGCCCAAGCCACTGCCACGGCTGTGCACGCAAGAGAGCCGCGGCTGATCGTGGAGGCGCTCGTCGTACGTAAACAGTCCATTGACCAGACGTTCGGGGACTTTGGCGGATTCCAGTTCGTTTGATGGAGACCAGCACGCGGACAATGGATTCTCAGTAGGCACTGATATTGTTACTCGCCAGTTGGCTGTATGACTAGTCCGTATTTCTCTGTACATGTACATGTACACCAATGTGTACGCATCTTGCGAAGCTCTCAACAACTGATTGCTGGCCTTCGTGGATATGCCCTAAGCTTGTAAGGTGTGTTCCGCCACTACCCCTTGACTGTGAATCAGGACCTGAGGGTGCTTGGTCGGCATGCCTGCACGTGCTGCGAATCTGCGTCACAACAACTCAATCGATCGAGATTGAGATTTGACTTTAAGCTTCTGGCCCATGACCGCACTCCCTTCCCTCCATCGTCAACGTCTCATACCGCCCGCAGACAACATCGCACTCAGCTTATACAGCGATGTAGTACTTCCCGCGGAAAGGGCCGCGAGCGAGGCCGGAACTGCAATCCATCTCATGCACGCCCGCATCGTCGGCTACCTCCTCCTCTATCCCCCGACTAGCGCGGCTCTGAGCTCACTCAAGTGCGAAGTCACGTCTTGCAAGGAAAACAACGATCGACTTCAAGCTGTCTACGATCTGGGTGAGACCTATGTCAAGCATCTGATTTACCCCTGTGAGTGATAATCCCGCCTCCCTTGACGGCTGTACGGCTGACACCACAATCAGTCAGAAAGCCAAGAGGGAGAACCCCGGTCTCTTCGGACCACCCTTCACCTCCTTCCTTGGGTAAGCCGAATGAGGAAGCCGTAGCGGGTCTGCATCCTCACCCGCAGAATCATTTGGACGCTAAACACGTTGTAAGTCTGTGTCGAATGTATGCGGGATCTCGGGATCTCAACCATGTTCGACTCTAGGCCCTGGTCAGGGATAATTACCGCTGCATGCTGACACGCAAGGTCGACAACCGCTGCTACAGAAAGAGGCTCATTGCTTTGCGCTGGCCCGACGAGCCAATTGGCCCTACACAGTGCAGCCACATCTTCCCCGACTCGCTCGGCAACATCGAGGTTGGCGAAAGCGAGAACAAGGTGTGCCTTAACTTCTCACTCTATAACGCACTATCAGTACAACACATTACAAGGGATGCGACGTGACGACGGTGTGGACGATGTTAAAGCGATGTGGCTACGAAGACGTGTGCAACGAACTCAAGGCGGATACGAAGGAGACCAATCTCCACCGCCTGGAGAATATCTTGACGCTCGAACCCTCGACCCGCCATTACTTTGACAATATGTGGCTCTGGCTAGAAGGCGTGCCAGAGAAGGTGAGACCCCCGTCACTGCACTCCGACCCCGGCTATATGCGTCGTATACAACAGGCAAACCACTATCGTGTCATCCTTGCGCCCGGCTACACGCACAAGAGCGTAGGAGTCCCGGAGACCGTACAATTCGTCGCACACGGCGATCGTGACCTGCCCCTGCCGAGTCCCAGGTATCTCAGCATCCACGCCGCGTGCTGTCGCATCGCGCATTGTCGGCGCAGCGAAACACCTCGACGCGATTGTCGACGACATGGACGAGCTGAGCGTCTTGTCCGAGGACGGGGCGTCTGCGGACGTCCTAGCATACGCTCTTCATCGACTTGTATAGATCCCGTGTGCGTGTGATTTGATGTTCCGTGGTGGCAATGGTTGTTGATGTCTTACCCGGACCAGGATGTCTTCCTTGCCGACCCTTTCCCTATTCCTGCAATTCAAAAGTTATTCATGAATCGTAGATCCCGGCGTCACTGTATAACAGTCGCGTTCATGGACTTCACGTCTATGAAACTCTGGCTGCCACCTTGCTCGTGCGTTTCTCCTAGCCAGCATCCGCCAATCCACTCACACTCTTGCAGGGAACCGTGAACCAGCTCACCGAATTGGGTTACGCTCGATGAATTTGTTGTGAGGCTCGTCCGAGGCTTCCTTCTCCTAGACTCTGGCTGTGAGCTGGTACAAAATGCGATGCCTTTGACAGCGTCACCAGCACTCGTAATGTCACATACATATTTACACAAGGAGCTGCTCAATCGCTATAGATAATAATATGACGTGTCAAGAACGGTGTGAAGGAATGACTCACGGGGACGAACATGGCTGCGACAAAAGACTTCGCAAGCGAACAGAACGATATACAGTGAACGGCGAAGCTGAACAGACAGACACTAGAGTAACGATGGCGTTGCCGTCAGCTTGTGCGATGAGGTCAGGCTACAACAAAAGCGAAGAACAGCATTCAGGCACTCACTGACGAGCTTGCGCGTCGTAAGCCCGCGATTCCACAGCGCGAGTCAATTGGGGAACGATGGCAGGAGACTGCTACATACACGGCGTCATAGGGAAGTACACCAAGTTCTATGAATATCAAGTCCTTGCGCACAATCGCCAAGGCTTTCGATGCGGGCTTGCAGAAAACTCGGAATGCACCTGCTCCGTGCGTGTGGCCGCATGGTAATTGTGCGGTGGTGTTTTCACTTCGAAAGGTCTAAATGTCACGATCTTGGCACCAATCGTCATATCTTTTGTACTGAACCGGAGCCTCTCCGGTAGATGGACGGGCCGCATGCGCTCAACATCGTAGTAGCCCGCTAGTTAGGCCGGATAGCAGCAATGATCCTGATGATGGCTGTTAGATATTGGTACATTGCGACGTTAACACTGCATGCCAAAGACTGGAACGCCGTATGTCAGTCTTCACTGCTTGCGGTATTGTATGTACGATGAAGTGTTTCGGATGATGCCTCAGAGGGTTGAACACGCCTCGACTATCCTGGCCATTGGGTGAGAACACGTTGAGATCGGATAGACCACGAGCATAACAGACATGCCTCACCGCTGAAAAATGCATGTTGCGCAATGCGCGGTACGTCCTTCAAAGGCTCAGAGGAGCAGTGTATTGCGGCCCTACTGTATGGACCTCTCCGCTGACTCGGTCAGACCATAGCACCAGCTCTAGCCTGCCTGTTCAGTGCTGCCCACCAGTCTGGAATAGCCGTACATTCCGTCAGACACCTAGACCGTCAAAGATCAATCGTATGTACGGCGACAAGATGCTCTTATGCTCTCGAGCGCTGGCGACCCATTCATCTTGTATAGCCTGCGGCTACCGTCGCCTCGGCCCACCCTCCGCAGGCTGGCCGCCGCGAAACTGCCCAGCCTCCAGCGCCTCCTTGGCCACCTGCGAGATACACTTCCACCTCTGCGATCCGAGCTGCACGCCGCCATACCACCGAAAGACGACCAGCACGACGTCCTCGCACGCCGAGAGCTCCAGCAGGCGCTCGAGCCTCTCGCCCGCACCCGCCTCGCCGCCGTCGTCCGCACACGACCGGGCGCCGTTCGGGTTCGCCGACCCACTGCGCCAGGCCCACATCGCGTGTGTCGCGCGCCGCGTACGCGACGTGGTGCCCTTGAGGTGGGCTAGGAAGCGCGAGACGTCCTGGGAGGCACAGTCGGGCTCGCTGCGCCCATGGCGTTCTGGCAGCTTTGATGCGAATGCCTCGAAGGTGGACTTGGAGCGGACGATGATGGACGAGGAGGAGACGGGGTTCGGCCAGTCTGAAGCTGGGTCGCGGTCCCGTGAGCTGTCGGACGCCTGTCGGTGCGAGCGTGCTATGGCTAGTAGAAGAGATCCTCGTGGATGCGCCGTTGTCCTGGCACGTAGAAGAAGCCGGTCTACACCATTCCGGCGTAGGTTCATTCTCGCAGCCCCGCAGTTGTCTCACCTGTGCATGTAAGTAGTCGCAGTGATCAGAGTAGACTGTATACCGGTGCCGCGTCGAACATCGCGGCGCTTCTTTGGGCTCGTGACCAGCTGGTTCGAGGAAATGGCTGGTCCGGACCACCTGCAAGTTCCTCCTCCTCCTCAGGCTCCTGCAACTCTGAACGTATACGCAACGGTACTGTAACCACTTCGCGATCGCTGACTATGACTGCATTACCTTCCGTCGCCCAAGTCCGGAACCAACTACTCATACCACCGGAGGACAATACTGCGCTCAGCCTATACAGCACCGTAGTCCTACCGGCGGAGAAGGCGGCGAGCAAGGCCGACCAAATCATGTATGCCCGCGTCGTCGGCTACCTCTTCCTCTACTCGCCGAACAGCACGGCCTTGAGCACACTCAAGCTTGAACTCGCGTCTTGCAACAGTAGTTCAGACGACAGTGTCCGCTTTGAGGCCGTCTACGATTTGGGTATGGTGTACGTCAGGCATCTCATTTGCATCTGTAAGTCGCGGCTACATTCCCCTTCATTACTGTGACCGTAAGGAGTATGACACCGCAGAAGTCAGGAAACCGAGAGGGAAAACTCCAGTACCTTCGGACTTCCCCTCGCGTCCCTCCTTCGATAGGCCGAAGCAGGATGTTGAGGCAAATTGAAGTCCAGCCCGCGGAATCATATAGATGCCAAGAACGCTGTAAGCCCGTGTTGAATGTATGCCAAATATCAGACAGTCTCAGTCGGGCTAAACAGGCTCTCGTCAGGGATGATTACCGCTGTATGCTGACGCGCGCGGTCGATCTCCGTTCCCTCAAAGATGAAGTCGCTGTTCAACGTTGGCCAGAGGAGCAGATTAACGCCACGCAGTGCAGTCACATCTTCCCCGACTCGCTCGACAGCACTGAGGTTGGCGAATCCGGAGACCAGGTGCGTGTCAATCCCTCACTATATAGCGCACTCGTCAATTAGGTGACACATTATCAGGAATGCTAAGTGGCGATGGCGTGGACAATGTTAAAGCGATTTGGCTACGAAGACGTGTGCCGCGAACTCAAGGCAGATGCCAAGGGCACCAATCTTCACCGCCTGGAGAACATCTTGACCCTCGCACGGTCATTTCAACACGCCTTTGACTTAATGGACCTCTGGCTTGAAGCAATCCCAGATAAGGTGAGACTTCCTACAATTAATCTCTGCCATTTGGCTATAAACCGTTCACAATAGGCCAATCATTATCGGGTAGTTCTAGCATCATACATGACGCACAAGGGCTTCGGTCTTCCGGAGAACATACAATTCGTCGCGCACGGCAATCGCGACCTGCCGCTACCGAGTCCAAGGTATCTCAGCGTCCACGCGGCTTGCTGTCGCATCGCACATATGTCTGGCGCAGCCAAGCATCTCGACGTAATATTTCGTGACATGGAGGAGCTGGATGTCTTAGCTGAGGATGGAGCGTCTGCGGAAGTACTAACATACGCACTTCACCATCTTGTTACCTCTCGTGTAGCTCGTTCATGGAGTCCCGTCTGTAATGAAGACGTTCCTGAAACATGACCAGTCTATGTTTGTCCTCCGTCCGGTACAGCATCCCTCACCAACAGCCCGATGATGACCTGCAACGAGTGCGACGTGAGAAGACGCGCTCTCATTCACTCATTTGACATTTCGCTCCTCACTCTACCGCATGAGCCCTGGTACTTCCACGCTATCGCTACGATGTCGCCCGGTACGTAAGCCCTTGCTCCATCGCTCGGCCTGCGTCTGACTCGGAAGCCTTCCCGCTCAGCTGACCCTACCTATCATACGGCCTATCGTCTGAGCCTATCCAGCACGGTTCACCCATTTCCACTCCTGCTCACTGCCTGGTCAACGGACCCCATCCTCGCGCCCGCATAAAAACGCCTGCCCTGTCTGCCATGTTCGAACCTCCCGGATCGTCCTCCCTCGAAAGCCGAAGTAGCCTCACCCAGCCGACTACTCGTCATGGGCAAAGGCTACAGCCCCTCCATCGCGGCGAACCCGTACTTCGTCGGTCAGCCATTTTCTCTCCTTCCACTCCTGTCTGCTCACCCCGCCCGCAGGGTCGTTCGCATGCATCGGTGGTGGTCTCTTCGGACTGGACCTCTCGTCCATGTCCGCGGTCCTTAACGTCGGTCGCTTCAGTTTCGCCGTCTCCTTGATCTCACGCCCGTAGAATCCTGCATACAACGAGTTCTTCGGCTACCCGGGCTCAACCAAGCAGGGCGGCATCGTCGCCTCCATGCCCGCAGGCTCTTTCGCCGGTGCCCTTGCCGTCACATTACTTGCCGATATGATCGGTCGAAAGTGGACCGTCATCCTCAGCGGCTGGATCTGGGTCATCGGCTGTATCCTCCAATGCGCATCTCAAGTGAGCTGCCCTGTCCCATCGACGTTCTCGCTCGTACTAACATCGCCGCATTCATAGAACGTCGCCATGCTCGTTGTCGGCCGTGTCATTGCTGGTGTCTCCGTCGGTATCGCCTCCTCCGTCGTCCCCATCTACCAATCCGAAATCACCCCTCCCGCCATCCGTGGTCGACTCGTCTCCATGCAACAATGGTGAGCAGCCCGCATTGTATCGCCCACGCACTGGCTGAGCCTATCTCGTCAGGTCGATTACGTGGGGCATCCTCCTCCAATATTTTGTCGAGTTCGGCTGCTCGTACATCAATGGCAACGCCTCTTTCCGCATCCCTTGGGGCCTTCAAACGATCCCCGCCATCGTTCTCTCCGTCGGCATGTTCTTCTTTCCCGAATCTCCTCGTTGGCTCGTGGATCGTAACCGGTGCGTGATCACCGATCATCTGACACTCCGATGACGGTGTTCCTCCTCCCCCGCAGTGAGCAAGAGGCTCTGCAGATCCTTGCAGACCTGCACGGCGGCGGCGACACGACGGCTCCGCTCGTGCAGCTCGAGTTCAACGAGATCAAAGCGCAGGTCACCTTCGAGCGCACGCAGGGCGCAAAGTCCTACCTCGACCTCCTCAAACCCGGCATCGTGCGCCGCGTCGGCCTCGGCATGTCCCTCCAGATGTGGTCCCAGCTTTCTGGCATCAACGTCATGATGTGAGCATCTGCTACTCCGCCGCAGAGCCTCGGCTGAGAGTCGTGGGTGGTAGGTACTACGTCGTGTACGTGTTCGAGGGCGCAGGCTTGACGGGCCGCCGCGCGAACCTCATCGCGGACTCCGTGCAGTACGTGCTGAACGTCGCGATGACCGTGCCCGCGATCATCTATGTCGACCGCTGGGGTCGCCGCCCGCTCCTGATCGCCGGCACGGCGCTCATGGGCTTCTGGCTCTTCCTCGTCGGCGGCCTCCAGGGCCGCTTCGGCCACTGGGGCGAGATCGACAACAGCAGTGAGTGCCCCATCCATCGGCTCGTGCGCCCGACGTGCTCACCCGCGTGCGCGCAGAGATCTGGGTCGTCGCGGGGAACGACGCGGCGACGAAGGCGATCATCGTGTGCTCGTACCTGTTCGTGTGCTCGTTCGCGGTGACGATGGGGCCGGTGTCGTGGACGTACCCGGCAGAGCTGTTCCCGATGCGGGTGCGCGCGAAGGCGGTGTCGGTGTCGACGGCGACGAACTGGGCGTTCAACTTCGCGCTCGCGTGGTTCGTGCCGCCGTCGCTCGCGAACATCGCGTACAAGACGTACTTCATCTTCGGGACGTTCAACTTCGCGGCGTGCGTGCACATATTTTTCTGCTTCCCCGAGACGGCGGGGCGGACGCTCGAGGAGATCGAGGCGGTGTTCGCGGAGGGCCATGCGTTCACGGCGTGGCGCGTCGGCCGTGATGTGGGCAAGGCGGACCTCGGTCAGGTCCGGTCGGCGGGGGCAGACGAGAAGCACGAGGTGGGCTCGATCGAGGAGAAGGCGTAGGATGGTGTTAGCTTGTATTTGTATCTCTGTCTGTGCGCGCATTTGCAGTCTATCGTGTTTTCAGCATAAGTGCAATATCTGGAATACGAACGGTGGAGTCATGATGGACACTTGAATTGGAACAATCAGAGAAACTGACAGACAAGATACTCGGACTACGTCCGACGGGTGAGACGGCGGAATGGCAAATACACATGCTGTTTCTCTCTCTTTAATGGGTGTCCCTGGCAAGTCTGCAATTTAAGAATCGAGAATTCGCACCATCCAGTAGACCTGAAACTTGCCTGAAACTATGTCGCTATGATCATCGACGAAGCTCGCAACAAGAATTTAAGATCATCACAGAGGCTTCATTCTTACTGATACTTACACCCGGGACGTATTTGTCTCATGCGGGACAACTTGCGATAACCCTCCGTGTTGTTCAGCCATACAGCCGTTGGTGGTTGACGTCGTCCCCGACCAGTGATCTAGTAGTGCCAGCCTGTGGCCTCCATTGATGGTATAGCGGCATTAATGCGGGCGCGGTGCGTACCTTTACATGTACATATCTGACCTTACTACATGCATGTGACTCAGTACCACCAGAGTCTTCGATAAGTATGCCATCCCGGATCGCAACATCGTCTCTAGACTTTGGTGCTGTTTCTGCTTGCCAGTGCTCATGCAGCCCACGGTGTGTCTGAGTCCTGGGAGAATGTAGTCTCCGTAGCTGACCAAAAAGAGATACTCTCGTTTGGGAGAATGGTCCGAGCCCGTAGAAGGCTAGTAAGACCCAGTTGGCCGCTGCTGTGCAGCGGTTTTGCTTGTCGGCTTTGCTCGACATGGGTACCGACCGGGTGAGCATCGCATGAATCGCGCACCACAGAAGTCAAAAGAAACCCAGCAAAATGCGTAATCATTGCGGTCGTAACTATAGCAAAGCATGTCGCATTGCGCGCAAAGTCGAAAAGAAAAGGAGCCACTACAAGATACATCGCACGCACAGGCAGGGATACACCAATGATTAGTAAAAGCCAACACCGCCCTACACCTTCTCCTCGAGCGAGCCTACGTCGTGCACGTCGTGCTTCTCGTCCAACTTCGCCGACCCGACCTGGCCGAGGTCCGCCTTGCCCACCTCGCGTCCGACGCGCCACGCCGTGAACGCATGGCCCTCCGCGAACACCGCCTCGATCTCCTCGAGCGTCCGCCCCGCCGTCTCGGGGAAGCAGAAAAATATGTGCACGCACGCCGCGAAGTTGAACGTCCCGAAGATGAAGTACGTCTTGTACGCGATGTTCGCGAGCGACGGCGGCACGAACCACGCGAGCGCGAAGTTGAACGCCCAGTTCGTCGCCGTCGACACCGACACCGCCTTCGCGCGCACCCGCATCGGGAACAGCTCCGCCGGGTACGTCCACGACACCGGGCCCATCGTCACCGCGAACGAGCACACGAACAGGTACGAGCACACGATGATCGCCTTCGTCGCCGCGTCGTTCCCCGCGACGACCCAGATCTCTGTAAGCCACGCGCGCTGGTGAGCACGCCGGACGCACGAGCCGAGGGATGGGGCACTCACTGCTGTTGTCGATCTCGCCCCAGTGGCCGAAGCGGCCCTGGAGGCCGCCGACGAGGAAGAGCCAGAAGCCCATGAGCGCCGTGCCGGCGATCAGGAGCGGGCGGCGGCCCCAGCGGTCGACGTAGATGATCGCGGGGACGGTCATCGCGACGTTCAGCACGTACTGCACGGAGTCCGCGATGAGGTTCGCGCGGCGGCCCGTCAAGCCCGCGCCCTCGAACACGTACACGATGTAGTACCTAGCGCATCGTCAGCGGAGGCTCTGCGCCGCAGCAACGAAGACGGAAGACGCACATCATGACGTTCATGCCGGACAGCTGGACCACATCTGGAGGGACATGCCGAGGCCGACGCGGCGCACGATGCCGGGCTTGAGGAGGTCGAGGTAGGACTTTGCGCCCTGCGTGCGCTCGAAGGTGACGTGCTCCTTGATCTCGTTGTACTCGAGCACCACGAGCGGCGCCGTCGTGTCGCCGCCGCCGTGCAGGTCTGCGAGGATCTGCAGCGCTTCTTGCTCACTGTGGGTTGTCAGTACGGAGTGCATGTCAAAGCTCGAAATTCGCGCACCGGTTGCGGTCCATGAGCCAACGAGGAGACTCGGGGAAGAAGAGCATGCCGACGGAGAGAACGATGGCGGGGATCATCTGGAGACCCCAAGGAATGCGGAAGGAGGCGTTGCCGTCGATGTACGAGCAGCCGAATTCGACAAAGTATTGGAGGAGGATGCCCCACGTAATCGACCTGACGAGATAGGCTCAGCCAGTGCGTGGGCGATACAATGCGGGCTGCTCACCATTGTTGCATGGAGACGAGTCGACCACGGATGGCGGGAGGGGTGATTTCGGATTGGTAGATGGGGACGACGGAGGAGGCGATACCGACCGCCAGACCGGCGATGACACGACCGGCGACGAGCATGGCAACGTTCTATAGATGCGCGACATCAGCATGAGGAACGACTTTGAGCGAGCGAGGCGAGGGCCCGGAAGGAAGCCTCAATCAAACCCGGACGAAATTGGGGCGCGATGGTCCGGACATGGCACTTCAGGGTCACTCGAGAAGTGAGGATTATCTAGACATGTATAGTCTAGGTGCTCTCGTATACGACGTCAGTGCAACAAGCCCCGTGCAAGAGAGTGAAGCCTGGTGCAAATGACGGGCCCATCGGTGAAAAGCAGAGGCAAAGTCCGGGAAATCATGCGCCAGGACATGTCAAATTCTCTCCGGACTTCGCTGCGATGTTGTCCGGATATCAAGGCGAAAACGTGGGAGTCGCGAATCAGGCGTCCTGCAACTTAAAGGGGGCTCACCTGAGACGCGCATTGGATGATGCACCCAAGGACCCAGATCCAGCCGCTGAGGATGACGGTCCACTTGCGACCGAGCTTGTCAGCAAGGAAGGCGACGGCGAGGGCACCGGCGAAGGAGCCTGCGGGCATGGAGGCGACGATGCCGCCCTGCCTGGTTGAGCCCGGGTAGCCAAAGTACTCGTTGTACGCAGGGTTCTACGGCCGCGACGGTGAGATGGAGGGCGCAAGGCCGGGGATGGTGCGACTCACGTTGAGGACCGCGGACATGGACGAGATGTCCAGCCCGAAGAGACCGCCGCCGATACATGCGAAGACCCTGGGGGGAGGTGAGCAGATAGCGGGCGGTCAGAGAGAACGCGACTGACCGACGATGTACGGATTCCCCGCGATGGTGGGGCTGTAGCCTTTACCCATGGCGAGCAGTTGGCGGGGTGACGCGACTGAGGTTGTCGGGGAAGGAGGACGAACCGGGGATGGGAGTCGGGGGCTTCGAACATGGCGGGGATGGCGGGCCTTTTATTGTGCGGGTTGATGGGGTCCGTTGGCCGGACATGCCAGGCAGGACTGGATATGAGCGGACCGCGCTGGACGGACTGACAAGATGGCTAGTTTGATCGGCGGGGTCAGCTGAGCGGGGGCGAGCATGCGCGCATCAGACTCGCCCCACCCCCGGACCAGCCAATCCAGATGGCAGGCTGCGAACGAATGCCAAGCGACCCCGCAGACAGAACGCTTTAGCAGCTCGTGGCTGCCCATGGGGTCCCTGGCCTTGGCACACGGCCGCATGCTTCTCTGCCCCAGAATGCGCCGGCCCGCGTAATGCTAGTCTGTGGCAGGCGAGGCGCGTCTGGCCGTTCGGGGAGGGCAGGCAGAGACTGGCCGTTCGGGGGAGGGCAGGCGGGCGAGACAGTCGTCGAGAAGGACGACGAACGTCGATCGCGACGCGTTGATCCTAGTATAGTTGATCGAGGGCGATCGGGGGAAGGTGCGGGGAAGCCGGCTCCGAATCTGCCTATCGTCCACGTCCTCCTCCTCGTCGCACACTCCCTGAGGTAGCACGGCAATGCGTCTTCCCCGTCCCGAGGCTCGTCGCAATTGAGGATGTGTGTTCTTGCGCCGGCGGTCCACAGTTCAGCCCCTGTGCGCCCTCTTGCTTCGGATCTCGGCGCCGCACGACGACTGACTTCCAGAAACCGACGAGCTTGCAGCCTTGGCGTTCCTGACAACAGTGTGTAGCTGTCCAAAGTTCAGAGCGTGATGCGTCGGCGACGGTCAGTCGCCCTCTCCCGGAGCCCTCGTACCGTCGTGTGCCTGCGTATGCACGCGCCTACGTGCCTAGCGGTGTTACAGGCACCTGCATGACGTTTCGTTCATACGGCGGACGTCTACCGCCGCCTTGGAATCCAACCTCGGACGAATTGAGGTTCTCACTTGGAGGGCCACTCTCAGCAAACCTCGGGCATGTAATTATAGTAAGTGCATCTTCTCGGCTCCAAGTTTTCACCTCACTAGGTGGTCTACGCTACTAGTACTCCAGCTCTTCCGGAACTCACAGCTGCTACCGCGCCCCCGCTGTTTGCCTGTTGTTCACGAGATGTATACACATTAGTCACCCGGCAATGTGCAGACCAAGGTTCTGACGCTGTGGAGCGCAATGTAATACTTACACGCGGAAACGCAACAAGCTACTCACCGTCGGCTTCTGCCGTCGCAATTCCGAAGTCGCCTTCGTCAGTCCTTCGTCTGACCCAACACGGCGGCAGCCTCGTACACGGGCCGATCCTGCCCCATGCGTCGTAACTCCGATTCTGCACGAATAATGTCACTGATCAAAGAGAAGCCCCTCACCTCGGTTTGGTTCAAAGTGCCGTACGGTATGCGTCAGAGGATTCGTGACGCCTCAGGCAGTCGCCACGCTCTGATGTGCTCGCATCTGCGAAGTGCGTCGTTTCCAGATACAGCGGCTCTAGGACGCCGAGTCCACGACCCGCCGACTGGGCATAGATCCGCTCTGCGAACGGGCCCTTTCAACTTCGTGAACGAGACTTGCAGGGAATCAAACACATCCCTTTAGTGCTACCGCCTCTGTGACCGGCGCGGAGGCTAGCGCGGGTACCGACAAACGTGGACACCGTAAGTGCATGCAATGACGGCTGTCTGGTAAGTCAGGAACGATTGAAGCTACCACAGAATATCAAGTCATACGCACGTATCATCCAAGGACTCTCTCTACACAAGTCGGTGAAATCGTGCGCCAGGACCTCCGCAGACGCTCCGTCCTCGGCCAAGACGTTCATCCTCTCCATCTCGTCGAAAATCGCATCGAGCTTGCTGCGCCAGACAGACGCGCAACGCGACAACGGGCCGCGTGGACGCTGGGATACTTACCTGGGATTCGGTAGGGGCAGGTCGCAATCGCCGTGCGCGACGAATTCGATGCTCTCCGGGACACGTAAGCTCTTGGGCAGCAAGTGCGGCGCAAGTCTGACTCGATGATAATTGGCCTGTTGGAGACGGACTATAGCGAGAGAGCGAAGTTCAGCGATGGGGGGTCTCACCTTGTCCGGCACTCCTTCAGCCAAAGCCCCATCCCGTCGAAGTCATCCTGGATTGGGGCTTCGAGCGTCAACATGTTCTCCATGCGGTGAAAGGGCCCCGTCACGTATCTGCCTCGAGTTCATTGTAGATATCAACGTAACCAAATTGGTCAATATCGTCGTTGCCACACTGTGCTCCTGATGATACGATGCGATACCTGGTTAGTGAACGTTCTATACTGAGCCCAAAACGTACCGTGCCCCCGCTTTTGTGGCCTCGATGTTGGCCAGCGGAGAGCCAGGAAAGACATAGCAACATCGCGTGGTCACAATTGGCTCCCCCTGGCCGACGCAGAACAGTGCGTTTATTCTTTGAGGAAAGACGGCTGACGCTGTTCGCCCATGCAACGGTAGTCATCCCTGACGAGGGCCTATGTAGAGTATGCACGGCGCGACTGACTCGACCGCTGACAATTCCAACGCAAACCTACGGCGACTTTTGCTTCTGAATGATCTCGCGGGCTGGGACTCAGCTTCTTCGCGGCCTTCTCCTTCACTGGCAGCCTGACAGGACAAAGACGCGAAGGCCGTGGTTCTCGCTCTCGGTTTCCTGACTTTGAGGGGGTCAGACTCCTCGAGCTCGCCACAGCTTTAAGGATCGCGGCTTACAGATGCAAATGACTCTACTTCACGTAGGTCTCACCAGGTCGTACACAGCTTGAGACCTCTCCCCGCACTGTGGCACGATTCAACCTCATGAAGTTGAGTGTGGCCAGAGCCGAGCTGGTTGGCGGTTAGAGGAGGAAGTAAGTAGCCGACAACGCGGACATATCGTCGTCAAGTGAAATAAGACATTGGCCCTGTACTTGATCAACAACAGGTAGTGCAGTCATCCATCCGAGTCGAAAGTTGTGGTGGTGCCCAAGCGTTGTGACGAACTTCGTCACTAGTGCCGCCAGATCTAGATCTTACTTCTTAGGATCTACTGACTCCTAAGCAGTCCAGCGTAGTGATGACGCATTCTTTCTGTTCAAGAGGGACAATAAACCTACGAAATGTGCATACCACAATGCAATACTGATGCAGACCCTGCGAACTACGAGTCGTGGCCGGATCGACCGAGCATACTGTCAGGTACTGAGTACCAGTGAGCTGGACGGCATCAACTCACCCAGTCTGGGTCGTCTGGGGCAATGTACGCCGCCCTTTCCATCATATATACGACATGACAGCAAAGCACCGAACGACACTCAATAATGGGAGACAGCTAATCTAGTTTCCCATCTGCAATAGATATCCCCACCCGGGAAAACCCGCCCGGGCACAAAGTCGAGAGCAGCCCTTTCTCACTCGACCGCCTGACAGACAGCAAGTCAGCGAAAGGCACCGCTACCAACGTGTAGCTACGCACGAAATCTCACGCTTCGTAGTGACGTGGATCGATTGTGGGTGGGGAGGCCGAGGATCCGCGGGTACGCGTTGAGGTTCTTGTGCAGCGTCAACTGGAAGACCGCCGCGCCGCCGTTACTGAGCAATTACCATCAGTCGGTGTCTGACAGCCGCGGAAGACGCTACTTACCGGCTGATGATGGTGAGTATGCAAGGAAGAAACCCAGATCCTGTACCACCTGTTTCCCGCCATCACGTCTGCGATGCACGAAAAACCGTCACGTCACGCACCGCTCGCCGTAGTTTCGATGACCAGATCCTTGTTCGAGATCCATTCTTGTACCACCGCCAGATCGTCGCGCTGTAGTGCACGCCCAGCACGTCGATGTTCTTCACCTCAAACCCGGCTTTCTCAACCTGGTTCACGACCCAGCCGAGCGAGCATGACGCGTCGGCACCAGGGAAGATGTACTTGTTCATGAACAAGCCCCTATGCCCACAAAGTTGAGGACAGAGTCGCGAACTGAAGAATGGAACTTACCAGATGAGATCCTCGTATTGCCATGGGGACGGATACCTGCGACCTGAAGGACGAAGACACCGTCGTCCGCGAGGAGGTCGTACATCTGCCTAAGGAACGTCTGGTAACGCCGGATGCCGACGTGCTAGACACGTAGTGAGACAACGCCATTCGATAGCCGACGAGAAGTACACATACCTCGGCCATCTCGAGACTAACAATCTTCGTGTACGCAGCCTTGCCACCAGGGATGTCGCGGTAGTCCAGGCACAAGATCTTGTGGCGTGTAGAGTCACCGCCCTTGACATGGCAGAGGTCAGGATGGTCCACGATCCACATGCTAGTACGACACTCACATTCTTCTGAATGCGCTCGTTGCCGAACTTCGTCTGATTCCGGCCGAGTGTGATACCAGTGACAGAAGCACAGTTGTAGTTCTTCGCAGCGAATGCACAGAAGGTACCCCAGCCGCAGCCGACGTCGAGGACACGGTCCTCAGGCTTGAGACCGAGCTACGGCGGACAGGGAGTGAGGAGGGCAGACACTAGCGATGTAAGTAGAACAGACCTTCTCGCAGACGACAGTCAGCTTGTTATCTTGCAGTTGCTCGAGGGTCTCTTCTTCATCGAGAGTGCCGACGATACCAGAGGTGTAAACCATACGTGGGCCAAGGAACCAACTGTAAAAGTTGTCGCCACCTAAGCAGCGTAGAGAAGCGTTCAGTCATGGATGAGGGAAGTCAAGGAATTCTGACTCACGGTCGTAGTGTCCACGCACTTGCTCCTCGTCCTGACTGCGCTCGTGGTAGATCACATCGGGAATGAGATTAAAGAGGACGTATTTGAAGAGCTCGGGGGTAAAAATCATTTTAGCCCAGTCGTGTCGTTGTTCCATTATATCGAGAACGTCGCCTAGGCAGAAGGACACGTCAAAGGCGCGCCGGATACATAGGGGTATTGGACTCACCGTTGAAATCAATCTTGTCGTCAAAATACGCGTCGTGGAAGACCTGCATAGGAATTCTCTCCTTGCCATGATACTTTGCCTTGAGTTCCGGGTCCTTGATGGTGATGTACTCTTCGATGCTCCGGCCAGGGAGCTCGATTTTTGTGTTCTTCCTCGGGCCGTACATGCTCATGAGGGTCCAGTACGCGAAGGTGACAGGAATGCCGAGCACAAGGACGAGGAAGAGATACGTCTTGAAGCCGCCACGGTTGATGATGGGTAGAATGCGCTTGACGATCCAGGGCACACCAAGGACGAGGGCGGCGAGGTGGATGTTGCTGAACGAGCCATTGCCCTCCGCAAGGCCGATGAGGGGCGCGTTCTTGATGGCAGACGTGCCTGTCTTGGTGACAGAGTACGAGGACATGTGCATGCTGGACGAGGCAGTGGACCCGGTCATGTCTGTGAGTGCGACACGACGCTCACGGCGGAAAGCAGACGCGACTCGGACGCGCCGCAGCACGACGCGACTTGTTTTATTCGCTGGCACCCGTCACGTGCAGAACACGTAGCGCGTCCTCGCTGCGCGCCCACTAGCGCCCACTGGACGCCATTGCGTCCACCGCCTGCCGACGGTCACGTCCTCGCCTTCGTCCACGTCGTCCTCCTCGTCGTTCTCAGTGCCATGTCCTACTTCCCCCTCAACAACAGGAGCCCGCCGCCGCTGCAGCACCCCGTCCCCACTCATCCTGCCTACATCCCCGAGCCCCCCCACCCCCGTCTCGCCGCAGGCTACCAGCGCTACACCAGCTCTCCGCCCGCCCAGCCGTCGTTTGCCCAGCCTCTCCCATCGCAAGCACAGGGTAGTCGCGTCCCACAAGCGTATCCGAGTCAACAAGGTGTATACAATCCTGTCGGCTCGCCCCCACGGCAACCGGCCGCCGCTCATGGCGGGGTCAACATCCCAAACGCGCCGGTCGACTTTTCAGCATGGGGAATAAACGACGCTACCGCTCAATTCAGCATGCAGATGGGTCGCAGTGCTGTTGCGGCGGGACAAGACTACGTGCAGAAAAATGTGTGTGCCGCCTTGCTTGTCTGCATATCCATAGCTGACCGTTGACCACTTCAGCTGGGCGGCCTCATCCCAATATCCGTGCTCAAACACCACTTCAACGTCTCCAACTCCTACGTGATGAACAAGCTGCGGATCTTGCTCTTTCCGTGGAGACACAAGCCCTGGTCCGTCGTGTTCATCGTTCCGGAACGGCCAAGCCGAGTGGCAAGCACCGCGGGATGACCCAATGCGCCTGACCTCTACATCCCGCGTACGTGCCGTCCGATGCTCATGATAAGTATTCGATACTCACGTTCCGACAGTCATGGCCATCGTAACATATGTGCTCCTAGCTGCCCTTCATTCCGGTCTGCATTCCAAGTTTCATCCAGAGATTCTGGGATCACCGCATCGAAGGCGCTCGCCGTCGTGCTCATGGACTTCATGTTTGTCAAACTCGGCTGTTACTTTCTCAACATCTCCGTGCGTATCTTTCAGCCATGACGTCCCGTCTCGCTGACACTCCGTGTGTTCCAGGGAAGCATCAACCAGATCCTCGACTTGTTAGCCTACGACGGATACAAGTTTGTCGGGTGGGCCTCATTCTCTCTGGCTATAACGCGCGTACTGACATCAAGCGAACCCTCAACAGCGTCATCATCACCCTTATTGCTGGTCTCCTCGGCTTCGGCCGCTCATTGTACATCGTTACATTCGCGTACTCCTTCTTCGCGACCGCGTTCTTCCTCGTAAGTCCCCCACACTGAGCCTACGTGTTCTCGCTCACCGCCATCGCTCCTCTCCCGCCGTTCCTCTGGTCCCCGCAGCTGCGCTCTCTCCGCTCAATGGTACTTCCAGACGCGTCCGCGACGGCGACGCCGGTGAATCCGTCCCAGCGTTCACGACGCGTCACTTTCTTGTTCCTTGTAGCCGTCACGCAGATCGTGTACATGGGTGTCCTCGTCCGCGTATGATGAAGAATATATTTGCGGCGTTGATGCGGATGCTGGCCGGCTTGATCTTGCTGATATTGGGGAGCAGCGTTCTGCTCGTCTGCTGCGTTCACTGCGCTGTCACCCATCTTCTACCTCGCTTTGCCTAGGCCTCAACGACATTCCTTCCACTCGGTTTGCTTGCCTCTCCGCCATCCTTTCGTCTCCGGCGCGTCACTTCCGCATGGACCGAAAGACGGTGTCATTCAACACGCCCTTTCACTCCATACTCGATCAGCACTTCGAGCATGATCACACCGCAGAGCAGAACGGCGCATTCGTCAGCTTCAGCGACTGGTCCACAGACATCTACGGCTCTACCAGCTTATCATGCTCACTGCTAGCATCGACCGTACGCGGCTGCACGCGAGCTTTAGCTAACTGCGCTGCTCATTTACATACATAATGCGAACGCCGGCGGTTATGCCGCCCTTCTCAACCAATGCACATGTCTCAATGTCTCAGTCTCAACAGTTCCTCGATTCCCTACGGGCTGTCTTCACGAAACACGGGAAGTATATTTTTCGGCGGATGAAGCTTTGACTGGAAAGGTCAACCGGTCACGGTCAAGGTTTCGTAGTTATTAATAGTAGCTTTTAGCACCGGCGTCTCCCATAACATGCTCCGAGCTCGCGTCGATCGAACGCGCCTGCCTATTCCCACGCGTTCGCTCTTCCGCTCAACGTCCCCCATGGACGACCCCAGCCCACCGCCCGCCCCCGCAGAGCCCTCCCCACCACCACCGCCGCCGACCACGACGGGCTCACCCACCGACTTCCTCAAGGGCGTCGTCGGAAAACGCGTCGTCGTCCGCCTCACCTCCGGCGTCGACTACCGTGGTGCGTGCGCCGAGTCTTCGTCTCCGTAGCGTTCCGCTGACCGGCCAAGCAGGCCTGCTCTCGTGCCTGGACGGGTACATGAACATCGCCCTCGAGCAGACCGAGGAGCATGTCGGTGGGACGCTCACGAATCGCTATGGGGATGCGTTCATTCGCGGGAATAATGGTGCGTGCTCCCTCGCCCGTACTTAGTTTTTTCTGACGCGCTCATGTACCCTCGATCCTGCCAGTGCTCTATATATCGGCCGCTGAGCCGCTCTAGGACGAGCCGCCAGCCGTTGTTGTAATCTAACAGCGCCTCCGACATCACTCAGAGTCCTACCGCCTCTGTCGCGTCCGAGGCAGCACCGGAGACGCACCATCGGGACGCGATGTCGTCCTGTGTATTTCACTAATGTATTCCATACTCGCCGACTCATGACCTTTGAGACCTCGAGCGAGGCGTGCAATATACAGATCCTGCCCAACAAACCCGAGTTCGATGCTGCGCTCCGTCTCGCTGTGCCGTCTTTCAACGCCGTCTCCGACAACGCTACTCGTCCGTCCCGTGCGCATGGACCGTCTCTTTTACTGGCTTCCGAATCGAAACCACTCACTCGCTATGCTAAGCCAGACTCACTGCCGCGTCGCTCCCTCCGCGTCTTCATAGGAGCGTCGCTGCGCGAATTCCAAGGCGAGTATATCGTGTTGCTCGCCGACCAAAGCTCATCTGCCAGGAAGGATCGGAAGTCGTGACCGTGTACTTGGGTGTGAAGTGCCATGCGCTGAAGATCTACGGACACGAAAGAACACAATGGATCCCCGACGGCTGCAGAAGCATGACGGGCGGGACCGTGCTCGTCGATCGTGTTTGGTATTGAGATAACCGTCATTCCTGAACTACGGCGGATGCCCGGTGGTATGGACGCGCCGTGGCGAGCAGCGCAGCTTTGATGCTCAGTGGACAGTTCGTCAGTATGTTTCATTCACGCACACACGCACGCAGACGGCAGCGTGCTGCTTTGAGATCCATTCACTTAGGCTCAAAACTTCATTGGACTGATCTAGCCTGGGGACGACGCGTTAACCCGATGATCATCTGCACCGATGTTGCTTGTCGGAGGTTGTTCGAGAATATACCCGAAGCACGACTTCTGGAGTAGAGGATGGTGAACGAGGGCACGAATGCTACTTTATGGTTCGCGGGCTACTTGCTCACAAGAGGACGACTGGAGCAGGCTGTGCGCCTGACCACAGATGCTAGTGAGTTCGTGTCTTCCCGACCACTCGTGGCGATTCCGTCTGAGTACAGCTCTTACCGCTTTGCTAACTTGCTTCACCTCGCAAGGGGAGTCTCGTGCACGTGGCTGACGCGTCGCGCGAGGACGCGTCTGGAGAGTGGAGCGACGTCATAGGCCGACTCGCAGGCACGGCGGTGGTGGCGGGTGGCTCTCTTCCGTTCCTGGCACCCCGTTCAAACCCGCCGACGCCCGCCCGCCCTCTTCACTCTCATCCACGACCTCCACCTCTTTCAACAACTTCTAACACGCCGACACCGACCGCGCCTTGCAACACTGAACTCTTCGCTCGCCGACACGACCAAGTCCGCTCACAACATGGACGGTAGTGCCGCACACCTCCCTGAAGACGCCCCGCCCGCGTACACCGAAGTCCCCATCCATGTCGACTCGAAGCCCGAAGCTCCCCTCGCCACTGCGCCCGACGGCAATCCCGTTCTCGAGTCCGAGGCGAACATCGTTGCGCACACCGTCGAGCTTCCGCCGGACGGCGAGACCAGCGCGGATGCCGTCTGACCTCAAAGACCCCGACGTCAAGGACATCGGGTGGAACAAAGATATGGGCCACCTACCTCCGACGATCGTGAATGGCTATCGAACGAAGATCTCTTCTTGCTCGTTCGGAGGTTCAATAAGGTGCGTGGATCCTCGTTTTTTGTCTACCTCTCTCACGTTTCGTAGCAACTGTATCATGTCAAAGCTATTCCGGAGCCCCTCTGGCCACCTCGACCTCGAGATATCTGAAAACGAGGAGTTCTCTCCCGACAAGCTTCGCGCCACTTAGAGCGATTCTACATGACCGTCGTACGTATCTTCCTCGTCATCGTTCAGACTGCAGATGCTCAGGTCCTCGTCTATCAGATTGTCAGTATTGCAGGCTTCGGCAAGCACATCGCTCGCGTACGGTCGTGGAACGAGCCGCGCAGGACGACGGGCTTCTGTGTTGTACGGATCTACTGTGTATCCAGTCTGCTACCTGCTACTCTCGTTCGGCTCACAGGCCTACTACGTCGCGTGGTGGAGCAACCTCCTCGGCGCGCTCATCTGCACGACCTCATCGTACTCATCCTCCACCCGCCTTCCGCAAGTGGCTCTTCCCGCCCGCGCCCTCGCCGCCGTCAGCGCCACCAGCGGCAACTGCAGGTCCCCGTGCAGGCGCCATCGGCAGCAAGGACAGCCTCACGGGCGCCGCGAGGCCCACAAGGGCGAGGCCGTCGAGCAGGAGGCGAACAACTTCGTCTCCGGCGTCGGATCGTTCGCGCTTGCGACCGCGACGGGCCAGCAGGTCGCACCGAACGCAGACCTGAGGACGTGCCGACGAGAAGCTCGCGCAGCAGGAAGAGGAGAACAGCGGTCTACGGGCGCGATGCCGACCCGATGCAGATCGCGGGCGCGACGGCGGACGCGAAGCACGTCGCGCATGGCGCGAGGACTGATGGCAAGCACGACGCGACGAAGAAGCACGTCGAGAGCGCGATGTGGGAGAAGGCGAGGCCCGTCATGCGTGCTCTCGCTGACCTGGTAGATACATGGGAACGTTTTGGAAAGTAAGTGCGTTCGCTATCTTCCTTTGACGTCTCTCAACGTACATTGCTAGTGTCCTAACCCCCACTGCGCCGTTCTCGCAAACGCCCCGCCTGCGGCTCGCGGCGCTGGTGCTACCGGTCATGATAGTGACCACAGCCGTTCCGGCTGCTCTGTTCGTGAAGGGCGGGTCGTTCGCAATGGGTTTCGCGATGTTTGGGCAGCCGCTCATTACCCGCGGGATTCACTGGCTTAACACCAACTATCCTAACTGGCTGCAGATGCTCGAGATGCGGAGGTTCGTGACCTCTATCCATGATGCGCACTCACTCACACAAGCACAGATCAATCCTCAAAGGTGTACCGACCAACGCGCAGCTTACTCTCGCGTTGCTCCGGATTGCAGAGGCGACCCACACCCTCTCCGCCGCCGCCTTCCATGAGCATCCCGACGGACGACCCGAGTCACACCCCGACGGCGCCAAGGCCGAAGTAGCAGAGTACGCCGACAATCACCTCGACTTTGATGCTCGAACTACGAGATTGAAGGTACCGACAGGCTGAACACGCAGACGACGCTGCGGAGCAGGACGGCAAGCACAAAACGAGCAAGCTCGCCAAGATCGTCAAGGGCTCCGCGAAGGCAAGCGTCAACAGCGTGATCGGCATCGACCACCTCAAGGCAAGCTCGGTCGGGCGCGGCCAAACGACGCTTGGCGCCGTGCCCAGCGAACGCCGGACGGGACCATTGACGGCCCAACGGGTAGTCGCGTGGGCCTTGGGACGGACCGACGACGTATGCGTCGCGGTATAACGGGAAACGGGGCTATGTCGTGCTCGTGACGAGCGCGGCGACGCCCTGCGTTTCGTTCGTGTGGGAGAAGGACCTCTCGAAGAACCTTGCGAGCTACGCCAAAGCTGTTGCTGCGAAGGCGAAGGGCGAGAGCGGGGAGCCCGAGGCGCCACCTGCGGTGTTTGCGATTCCGCTTGCCGAGATTCAGGGTTACGGAAGGTGGGCGGGTATGGATGGAAGGGTAAGATGGTTATTGGATATGCGCTGCAGCGTGCGGTAGTGGATGGGCTCGGGATTGAGGACAAGGATGGGAAGACACACTATCTGACTGCAATCAAGGGTAGGGATGAGTTGTTCAATAGGCTCATTGCCATTGGTGGGCATAAGTGGGAGCAACTGTAATACTGGTGGCATGAGCATGCAAAGGAAAATGATGTAGCATACTAGTTAACTATCCTGTATCAATCTGTGTCTGGCACAGGACAATCCACTAATCCACTGCAAGTTCAATCCTGGCCATGGAGACATAGTATCACAGATGAGTTATTGTGGGTTTCCCATATTCACTGTACAAGGGCAATGACTAACTATCAGACATCATGATAGCACAGCCCAAAGCTCTGACCTATGGTACTACTTGAAGAGGATGGCTAGGCAATTAGGTCTACAATGTAGTGTTGATTTCAGCTCATCAGGCCACATTCACAATCACATGACAGGACAAGCACATGTCAAGGCTGAGTATGAACTTAATTTCTGTGGGTATATAAGACCATCCTCCTTCTGCTTTGCTCCTTGCACTCAACTTTCATCATCCCTTTGTGGTTCAAAGTGCATACACCTCTACTGAGTCCATCATGGTGAGTTCAATACAATCTATGCATGTATGAATGTTGTACTCAGTGGTGACATAGTTCCCAACACAAGATCCTGGACATGTCAGAAGCAAGGCCCCAGCCCAGAGAAAGGTCAGTCATTCCCTACTCTGACTCTGCTCCCAGAGTAGAAACATGTTATTTGTATAGATACCAGCTGATAACCAAGAATATGTCAACAATGTGGTGGGCCATTACATTGATCACTGATCTAACTCATGTTTCATTGTAATCCTGAGCAGGAAGCCAAGCACATGATGATTGATCTGCTTAATTGCAAGACAGCTCAAGAAGAGGAGCAGCTCATCATTGACTATAGAGAAAAAGCCAGCAAGCCTCTGTCCAAGAGGATCCTAGCAGATGAAGAACTCAGGAAACTACTACTGGAGATTATGCAGTACCAACCTTTCTTAGACAGCAAACAGCTGTCTTCAAACCTGTTTGATAAGTGGTCCAGAGGCCTTGGGGGGTGAGATGCTATCAAGCCTGTTGTTATCTCCCTTATAATGATTATCATTATCTAGGTGTACAATGTGTTGTTCAAGCAGTGGTCCCTCACCCTGGCACTACTGTGCAGTGACATAAAGCTGCCCAGTCACCAGATTTGGATTAGCAGGTTCAACACTATGGACAAGTCCCAGCAGAAGGCAGCTAGGGCTGAGATGGTTGCCAAGCTTGATGAAGCCCTCAGTGTGGACTCATCCCACCCAGAGTTTATCAAACAGGAGGTCATGGACCTCTTTGAAGTGCTTTACAGGAGGCACTTTAAGCCCATGCTTCCAATGCTAGGCTCAAAAGCACAGGAGGCCCAGTGGATGAAAGCCATGAACTCCTACAAGGATGACCTCTTTGTTGGAGTTGATAAGCTTGTGGAGACCATCAAGGCCAATGCTGTGGATGGAGATGAGGCCCACAAGTATTGGAACACTGTGGAACAGTTGTACATCAAGTATGACTGGTATCACCACTTCAAAAGCCCAGCTTTAGGCCTCTATCTCAGTGGCATGTCCATGCCAATTCTGACTCCTACCATGATGGTGGATGTCATCAAGATGCTAGAAGATACTGTTCCACAATGGAACAAGGTGTGTGCTCATGTTATAGTATGACTAGGTCATTTATTCCAATTTCCTTGTAGGTTGCTCATTGGATAGCACCCATGGCCAGCATGCATACCTTCCAGTACAGGTCAAACAGGTTGTGGACCAATACATGGGATGGTGTCAGGCTATATATTCAGCAAGCCTACATTGTCTCTGCTATTGACAAGGGGATTCCAGTGCCTTCCCCAAGAAGAGTAGAGCTGGTCCAAAATTATATGCTTATGGAGGTGAGTCATTCCATTATCTGGGCCCCTGCTATGGCTGATTGCCACTTAAAGGTCATTGAATGCATGCTCAGGTATCTTCAAACCAGCATACAGGAGCTTAAGGTCCTCAAGGACCAAGGGATCTCATGGAGAAGCATACATATGACTGGCAAAGCCAGCCTTGGGCCCATTGCCTAACCTTGTTCAGGGACTACAGATTGCAGGTCATGGGTGAGAAGAAGCATAGCAAGCTGCTCAGGACCTTCCCTGTTGTTCCTGAACAACCAGACGGCAGCCCTCTCAAGGCTCATGCATGGCACAGCCACCTTCTCTCCATCATGCACACCACCATCTTCCCATTCTATGAGGACATGCCTAAAGGTTCCCAGGACAAGCAAACCAAGACCCATCTTGGCTACATGCTGAACCTAGCCATGGATCATGATCAAGACTTCAAGTCTCTCCACTATGATCATGCAGTCATCATCCTCAGGGATCAACTGGCTATCATACAAAAGGGATGGATGAAGAAGGGCTGGATACTCCCAAGATTCTACTGGGACAACTGGGATCTTGGCTCTCCCAGGAAGAGCAATCCTGCTGAATGGACTGCACAGCTTAAGCAGCATCACAAGCATCTGATGGAGATACAATCCATCATGTCTCAAGTAGATTCCAATGGTCTTTTGTCCAAAAGCCTCAACAGTGAGTATGAGGTTTTTATGGAGGTGAGTTCTCTCCTGTCAGCTATGAGGGCTGGACTCTGATAGAGCTCATGGATAACAGAAGTTCAGGCAGCCTTTACTGGCTGTCCAAGGTGAGTAATTCCATCACAGCACACCCCATCCCCTGTATTGTTGATCAAGCCTCATCTACATCTGACTGCCCTCATCCAGATGATCATGCTGCTATTAGGCAACTTGAAGGAGCTACAAAAGACAACACACCTCAGGGCAACAAGGTATTCATTGTCTCAGTCTGCAAAGATGCAAGCTCATTTGTTGATCAAAGTAGTGCCTGTATACTTCAGAAGGCCATCTACCAACTTGCTGGGGAGTGGGCCATGCATGGAAATATGATCCCAGTTGTATTCAGGTTGTCTGTCTTCTAGCTCATGAAATCATTGCTTGAATCTCACTTATCAAATGCATTGACTGACATATACTAGTCTGTGAGGCTAACTTCCATGCTTTACCAAACGATTGAACTGTGACAATAACAATAACCTCACACAGGCCAAGTTGAAGTCATCAGCCAGTATTATAGTAGTCACAGAGGTACTTGCTCAGCTCACCATCCTCGAGCCTACTGAGTAAGATTTGACGTTCCGAATGGTAAACCCGGAGTGAGATCTGGCCGTCTGAAACGGTGCGGCCGGCGCCGGCCGGAGGGGTCCGGGTCAACGTTGCAGACATTGTCATTGCCAGCACGTTGCCAGCGGTCCGGCCGGAGTGCATGCCGGCCGGCTCTGCCTCGTCTCCAACGTTGCGGC